GAGAATTCCTGGGTTTCTAGTCCGGTGGACATGAGCCACTGGGCCTAGGGGCAGGAGACATCAGGATATCCAGGCCTTGTTGGAGGAAAATGTCCAGAAGGCAGTTGGGGGACAGGCCTGAACTTGGGTGATCTCTTGCAGTGCTCTGGCAATCCCCTGAGGTAGCAGCCTGTTGAAAGTTACAGAGTGCGGGTGAGGTGGGCCGGGAAACCACCGCAGGTCTCTGTTCTTGCCACCCCACCATGCTGGCCAATTTGTGCCAGAATGGAGCAAATGCCAGAAGGTCCCAGTCCCCCTCTGTGGAGGTTTTCAATTTAATTAAGCCAATTAAGGTCTGAAAGATGAAAGGGTACAGAAACGGTACATTCCCTGCCCTTTTGGTGTCTACAAACCGTTCTAGGCAGCCAGCCCAGGCCAGAACGTCTCTGTCAGGCCTGCAGAGCTGATAGGCCTGGTCACTTCTGTTCTTGGCCATTTTAGTGATAGCTGCTGTCCTTGTTCAGACTGAGGTAGGCCATTGCCCAGACTTACAGGGAACCCAGGAAAACGATAGTATATGCTGTTTGGTCTCTATGGTGGCCAACAGTCACTCAAGACAGATGACTTAGCTGATGGCTCCTGTCTACCTTGTGGCCTGTGGAGTTAATGAAGATGAGGAAGATTAGCACAAGCACAATTTTAGACTCGAGGAAACCCAGAACTGGAGCAAGGCCGCGGAGCACTCAGTGGGTCACCTGCTGGGGGTCGTGGGCGTCCCTGCTGCCCTTCATCCCTGTACCCCACCCTTGTGTTCTCTAGGACTGTGATTTCCCCCTCCCAAAGCTCACAGCTCCTCCTTGGATGGCCAGGCCCCATGCCCACTCACCTCCCCAGGTTTCCATCCTCACCCAGGGTTGACCACACAATGGACTTCCCACCAAGTCATTAACCACATGTCTCAAAGATCTTACGACCCTGAGAGCGGGAAAGACATGCTCACAGGTAGTTGCAATAACAAGCAGAGCAAAATAGAAACAGTCATGGGATTCTAGACTCAGCAGCAATCAATTTTGGCAGACACTTTCTGTAGAACGTTCCACCTGAATTACTGCTCGAATTCATCAGATGTCATCAGGTGGAGATGGGACAGAAGGTGTGCAGGGCAGGGCACATGGAGTGCTCAGAGCTGGCAAGTCTGTGCGTTGTAGCAGGATGAACGGTGCAGTGAGCAGACCAGTGTGGGGCACGGCTGAACAGGCTGGAACAGGAAAGGAAATGGAAGGTCCTTTGAAGTAATGTGGCCTTTTGCTTGAGGGGGAGTGGGGAGTGGGAGTATTGAAACACAGGGTGTGGCTTTTTGGAAACCTGTGCAGTTTAGAGGCAGAGAGAGTGACAACACCTGAACCAGGGAAGGTGGTATCCCAGAGCAGGGGGTTGACAAGCCACCCAACTGAAAGGAGACCTATTAGGTGGTAGACTGCACGTGGGGCCTGCTTAGTGGGGGATGAGGGAGAAGGATCAGGCCACAGCTGCAGGCAGGGTGCCAAAGAATACTGCAGTGAGGGGAGACACAGGACCATCCAAGGGGCTGTAGTGAGGGGCAAAATTGCTTTGTACCCCACCCAGTCTCCTTATCATGAGTCTCTTTGGGCTCAGTTGGCCGCAGCAATGACAGCTCACCAGTTAGGAGCAGCTCAAGGACTCATCGTAACTCTGTCTGGGCTGCTGTTGCTTAACCCAAGGCAGGGCCACACTGGGAGTGGCGGGGGGGGGGGGGGGAGGTAGGGGCAGGGAACATGAGGAGAGGAGAGCTGGCCTTTGGTGAGCCCTGGTGGGGGTGGGTAGGGATGCTATGCTGCCGGCCTGAGGAATGGGCATTTCTGCCAAGCCACTGGGATGAGCCCATCCAACTACGCACCATGCACTCTGTCACCCCCTGGGGCTCACCAGTGCCCTGTGGCAGGAGCCAGGCACCTTCCAACCAAATCTTCTCCAAGTGGGTATAGAGGCCGAAAATATAAAAGTTTCCAAAGGAACAAAATCATCCATCTGCGTCCCTTTTAGAAAGAGCCCCTATGGAGTCCCTAGGTGGCTCAGTGGGGACCATACAGGCACACAGCTGGCCTCTGAGGCCCTGGCCTCGTACAGAAGGTCCCGGAATGCAGGCCAGTGTCCTGCCTGACAAGGGCTTGCCAAGGGCATCAGAGCCTGGGGTGAGTGCCCACTACTCCTGTCAGCCTGGGAGGGAGACCTACTGTGAGAGCTGGTGTGTCCTGGGGACTCTGTTCAGGGACAATTAACTCATGTTTCTGCTGGGTGCCCCTACCACCTGGCCCCTGCACTCACAGGACCCATTGGTTGGTCCTCTCCTAGCAGCCCTGCCCGCCTGGGGTCCGGAAGACAGATGAGCCCAGGAAGCTGACTCACATGGGGGTTTGTGGGCCCAATGCTGGCTGAAGCCGCTCTCTACATAGATGAGCCAGACCCTGACCCTGTCCCTCCCCTCCAGCAGCCAACAGGCTAAACAAAGTTCCAGAGAGGGGAAGGAAACTGGTGGAGACAAAGGCAGGGATGGAGGCACCAGGCAGGGCTGTCTGGAGAGGACCGAGGAGTGCAGGTGACAGTCAAAAGCTGTCACTGCTGTCTCCAGCAGTTCTTGAAATGGCCCGTGGAAGCCTGTGGTCAGAGGCAGGAGACCTGGGTTTCCTCATGGCTCTGCCACTTCACTTGGCTGTCTTGGTTTCTTGCACAAGTGAATGGGAGAGTAATTCCTGCCGTGCCCACCTGGGTGGGTGGGGTGCATTCACACATCACCCCAGAAGGAGCCCAACCTGCATCTCACACCACGAAAGCTTTGCTTCCTTCAAGTCCTGGTGCTCTGCTGCCCCACACATCCCTGAGCTCAGGGCTCACCCCCATTACCCCAGCCCTTACCCAGTCAGGCAGAACGACTGGACTGCAGCCCCTGCCCTCATCTCCTGGCTTCTGTCCTCACCCAGTAGCCCTCTGCTCGGTGGTGGCCCATGTCACTCATAGCCCCATGGATATTGTATCCCCGTGGAATCTGTACCCCCCTTCCCCCACTGACCTGTCCCATTACCTGCCTTCTTCCTGATGTCAGAACACTCTTCCCTCCAGAGGAAAGGCTCACGCCTCCACCTTGTTCTGGTCTTTTCTCAAATGCGCCCCTTCTGAGAGGCCTTCCCTGCCCCTGCCCCCAACTGAAACCACGTCCCCACCGCTCTGATGGTTTCTCAACAGCGGGACCTGCTTGATACCCATCTCCCAGCCAGATGGAGAGCGCAGGAATCCATTCAGTCCTGTCCACCCCTCTAGCCGCGGTGCGGGCAAGTGGTAGATGCTCAGTAAAGATTTGTCAGATGGTGAACTGGAAGGGTGGGCAGTGGGGAGATGCGTGTGTGGGGAGAAGACAGTGCATTTGTGGGCCTGCCACTTGGTTCCCTCATCTTCTGGCAATGAAGGCGGTTCCCTGTGGAAGGTGTCTAGGGAGTTAACACTGATGGCCGTTTTCTGAGGCACCTCTCTGCCTCCCAGACCTCACGGGCAAGGACTGCTGTAGGTGCACACGCATTTTCCTGACAGTGTGGGACCAGTGTCCGTCCAGAGGAAATGAGGTCCCCACCATGTTCTGAGGCCCCTGATGGCCGTGGTTCATCCCTACTCCCAGCATTCAGCATTCACTGGTCTCTGAGTGACAGGCAGGGGGGCTCTCCTGAGAGCAGCAGGCCACTGGGCTCTGGGTTATTGTTTCCATGGGCAGTTCTAGATCAGAAATTGGATTGGTGGCTGAATTTGCCTTCAAGAAAATCCTTCTAAGCCAGGAGCCTCCCCAAAGGCGGGGGATCAGGCCCAACTGAGCCACGTTGCCAGGAGGCCTCTGCTGGTGTGAAGGCCAAGGCCATGTGCACTGAGTACAGTTCAGTCCTAGGAGCTTAGCGCACGGCCTTGGGGATGCTTCCACTCATGCACAGGCTGCAGGCCTGCAAGGAGAGGTGGGGAAAGAACAGCAGGAGAAGCTAGGGGCCGGACCGGCAGGCCCAGCAGGCCCCCGTAGTCTGTGCCGCCTGACCCTGTTGGAGGCTGGGGGCAGGGAAGCCCAGGCTGCAGAGGTATGTTGGGCAGGTGTGGACAGTGGTGATGGGGTGTGGGGACAGTGAGAGGGATGACAGCTTCATGATGCTGTGCAGAGGAGTGAAGGTGGGGTGGCTCAGGAGTCAGCTGACTGATCTCAGTGGGGCGGGGAATGGGTGGCAGCAGCATAGTGGGGCAGGGCAACAGAGAAGTCAAGTCACCAGTGACCTGTGGCTGCTTTCCCCTTTCTCCTGTGTGCCCTCTCCTCCCACCTCCCCTTCCACTCCCTTTATCCCATCCGCCCTTCTCTCTCTTCTTCCTCCTCCCTCCTCCTGCTTCCTTCCCGCTCTATTTCTTTCCCTCTCTCCCTCCCCCCCTTTCTCTGGGCCTCCTCCCTTTTTTGCCCCCACCCCCAGGTACCCTCAGGGCAGCAGAGACACCCTGACCTGGCGCCCAACTGGCCCTGTCCATGGCTTGGCCTGCTACCTGGACCCCTGCACAGCACCGGGCCTGAAACTGTGAGCTCTGAGCAGCAGAGGCCGAGCCAGAAGACTGCCTAGCCGCCCAGGATTTATAGCATGCCGGCCTCACAGGGCGAGTCTTAATCAGGCAAGAGCCTGAGGTGATGGAGCTGGAGGAGGGGCACGGCCATGGGAGAACAGTGGCACAGCTAAGCCACCCTTGCCAGGGCAAGACCGTCACTAATCAATTCCCGCCCTGCAGGCTTGGGTGCTCATGGTGGGCAGGACTAGGGGCTGGCCTGGCAGGTGGACCTGACAGGGCATAAGGGCCACTGGCACAGCCTGGGAGGTGAATTTTGCACTCAGTGAGCCATGACTTGGACTAAGTGCACATTTGCAGTGTTCTAGAAGAGTGAACCTCAGTTTTGTCTCACTGTGTCCCCTGGCTTTTTTTCATCTTCTCTCCAGGTGTCTGCACTTGGCCACTTCCCCACTGCCACCCCCTCTACTACACCTCCCCCAGGCACTGGGACATCAGGTGGCCACCTGCTCCTAGCTGAGGCTGCACCTGCGAGAAGGCTCAGCATCTTCTCCTCCCAGAGCAACAGGAAGGATGGGTGACATGGCCAACAGTTCTATCGAGTTCCACCCCAAGCCCCAGCAGCAGCGGGATGCCCCCCATGCAGGCGGCTTTGGGTGCACGCTGGCTGAGCTACGCTCCCTCATGGAGCTCCGAGGGGCCGAGGCACTGCAGAAGGTCCAGGAAGCCTATGGGGACGTCAGCGGGCTCTGCAGGAGGCTGAAGACCTCACCCACAGAAGGTAAGCCTGCCAACAGAGCCCCAGCATGGCCACATATGCACAGGGGACTCTGGGCCATATCCCATCTGACACTCCTGGCCATTGAGGGACATCCTGAAGATGTTCCCTACCCCCAGGGCAGGCACAGTCAAGGGCTGTGTGGCACCACCACAGCAGCAGCTTCCTAGAGGCACTCTTGACCCTGACCATGCTCTCCCCAGGCGGCCATTTCCCCCTGAGCAGGAGATGGTCTGCATGGGGTGAGGAGGTCATTCTCTGGGAAACCTGCAGTCCTCAGGAAGCTGTGGCCTGACCACTGCACCCGCACCTCCATAATCAGGAGCTCCATGCTTGCATCTCTTCTTTGGAATAAATAGAAATTGAGCCACAGAGAAGAGGAAGGGAAGAGACAGCACTGCGTTAGCAAGTGCAGGCAGCATGGCCCATCTGAGTGTTCTGGGTGCCCTGTGTGCTCAGTCCCGTGTCAAGAGGGATTGGGACGAGGAGGACGGGGGCAGCGTGCGGGCTTGGGTTGCAGGAGGCAAGGGAGAGGGTGGTGCTCAGAGTGCCAACGGGAGGCGACACTGGTGGCAGGCTGTCCCAAAGAGACGCAAGCCTGAGGCATTGTAGATCTGAGCAGATCTGCTGCAAGGAGCCTCTAGGGAGCCTGGGGAGCGTCCTCTGGAGAATTCTAGGAACATAAGCCAAACTACCACCTTGGGTCCCAGCCTCTGCCCTGTGGCCCTTTCCCTCTGATCTGGAGGCAAACCTCTGCCCTGCCCTGCACCAGCCTCCCCAGTCCTGCCTGCCAGGTCTGCTGGGAGGCCAAGACCACCAGGAGCCAGGCTGGGCCCCACATTCCAGGAGCTGGAGTGTTCTCTGGCCCAGCTGGCACCTCCCTGGCAGGGCTGCTGGGATTGCCCCAGTCCAGTGCCAGGCCCTCTCTGGGCCAGGGCTGGTTGATCTCATAGCTCCAGTCTCAGCTGTCACACCTTCACCCACCCAGGGCCCCGCCATCACCCCTGTCTCATGCTCCTTGGCCCTGTCTGTCTGCGGGTGGCTCATGGGCTGGAGCAGGGAATAGAGATAGCCCACTCAGGAGAAGGTGGGCCTGAGGGCCGGCTGAGAGGGTGCCCACCTGTCCAGATCGGGAGCTCCAAGGTGGGTGGCCTTCCCTGGGCTTCCTGGGTTTCTCTTGCTTTGCACTCTCAAGGAACCCAGCCTGATAAGGTGTGTCATGGGGGCAGATGGTTTGGCTTAGGGCCAGAGGATCTCTCTCCTTCCCTCCTCCTTGCCCTCCCCCATAATTTGGGGCCACTTAGCCACAAGAGCTCTGGCCTCCCCCAGATAAAAGGAAGCAGATGGGCTTAGCTGGCAGCTTTTTCCTCTGCCTGTCAGGCCTTGTTAAATATTTAAAATGTCAAGGCCCCTGGGAACCTGCCCGATTCTGCCACAGCAGCACTGGAGTGTGCCCGGTGCCTGTGGAGGGACAGGCATGGAGAAGGGCAGGTTTCCAGGTAGGTGGCCCGGCCCCAACAGAGGGAGCTAGCCAGACCTGGTCTGCATCCTGAAGAATGAGCAGTGCGAGGTCCACCCCTCTCCTCTCCGACTCCGGGAGGACCTCTAGGTCTGGGCACCAGAAGTGGGTGGCTCTGGCTCCCCCAGAAAGTGTGGGATCCTTGCACACCTGCTGACTTGGTCCCAGAGTTCTCACTCAGACGTCCCTCCCCCCCCCCAACTCATTCCTGCTCAGACACCGTGGCCTAGGTTCATGGGAGGAGCCATCTTAGCAGTGTCCCAGGCCCCACACCAACCCCCCGACAAGGTGGGCAGACTGGGGGTGCCGGCAGAGTGGTGCCTTGGGGAGGGTGGGGAGCTGCATGGCATATTGAGGGGAGGGGACTTTGTAGCAATCCAAGAGGACTCCAGAAGCCGGGGCACCTGAGTCTTATGCCAAGCTCGGTAGTAGGCCCGCTTGGGAGACCTGGGCCCCTGTCTGGCCTCTACCACCAGTCACAGAAAGGAGGGGGCAGATTAGCCAGGAGCCACACGATGTGGTCCTAATTCAATTCCAATGGCATCTGGCCTCTGCTCTGGGCAGGGCGCCCATCTGTGTCCATGCCAACCGGCGGCCCCTGCCCCCGCACCCTGGACCTAGGCCGCCCTTTGGTGGCCTGCTGGGCCAGTGCATGCAAGCTCAGAACCAGAGGGGCTGCAGCTGCTTCTTCCCCTCACAAGTGAGTGCTTCAGTGGTGGCAGCTGTCAAGACCCCTGAGTCCACAGGAAGGCCAAGGCCTGGGGCTGGTCTAGGGCAAGGGAGAGAGAAGCATTGCTGCAGCATCAAGGGCAAACCAAGGCCAAGGGACAGGCTGATGGAGGGAGGGGGGAGGAGAGGAGGGAAGGAGGGAGGAAGGGAGCAAACTCCTGGCGAGGAGGCCCCCTGAGGGCCCAGCTTCCCTTGAGGACAAGCTGGGTCTGTGGGCAGGGCGGGCAGGATGCAGATTCATGTGAGCTCTGGGGGTGAGGGGGAAGCAGGGCTGTCCCTCTTGTGGGCTGAAGTCAAGATCAGTGCCTTTTCCCAGGGCAGAGGGAGGGAAAACCCTGGGTGTCTGGGAGACCCAGGTTCAGTTCAAGTGCCTCCCTAGTCCTGATCACAGCTTCCATAACTCTTATAGCTCAAGGACACAAGCCCTCAGCTGGATCCTCAGCCTTTAGGAGCTGAGGTCCTGAATTTCTCCCAGACACCCAACTGGAAAGCTGCAGACTCCAGAAATTTGAGCCACAGTCTCCTGGCACGATAAGGCCAGGGGGAGAAGGGCAGGGACAGCTGCCACTCTGCTGGGTGGGGAGAACAGCGTGTGGTCATCGCCTAGCTCGGGGACATGCCAAGGCGGTGCTGGCTGTGGGCTTTCGCTCTTGTCAGTCCTTCCACCTCGGATGGGCCCCGCCCTGCTCCTCCCCAGAGGCCATCTTTCCCTGCCCAGCGCACACCTTCCCTCCTTCCTCCTGACTCCTGCACCACACTTAGCACTTTCTTGTCCTGAAGTCCTCTGGGGCCAGGGCTTGTGTGCCTTCCCAAGCTGGCTAAGAGCACCCCATGGGCTGGAACCTGGGCCCTTTTGCTCGCCCCCTGTCCCAGAAGGAGGCCGTGGGAGTGGCAGCTCCTCAGGGCTGGGAACTGCAAGTTGCCATCCGTCCACCAGGTGTCAGTGTGGGGCTGGGAACTTGAGGGCGGAGAAGAGAGAAAGGCTGGGGGACAATGGCAGCGTCAAGGATCACGGTGGATAGATGTACCTGGAAGGAAGCAGAAAATCCTGAGGGCTGAGGGCGGGGGCCAGGGGACTGCATTATTTCATCTGCCTGCCTCTGAGGAAGGTGGCCAAGTGGGTGTTGGGCCTCGGGAGGCACTGACATGGATGCTACGCCCACAGGGAAGCCTTCAGTACTTTCAGGCATGGGACTGAGAAGGCTCGTGCTCTAGAGGCAGAGACCCAGAGGCTTCGGCACAGGCCTGGGTGGGAAGTGGGTTGTTCCAAGAAAAGAAGTAAGGGCCTCGCTTCCAAGTCCCCCTTTGTGGCCATTGATTCTCAGCGCCTATGTGGACCAGGCCTGCCCTCTCTCCCAGCCCACACACAGCAGCTTGTCTGGGATGTGGAGGGGCCTCTCAGGCTCTAGAACGATTAGGTCAGGGCTCTCTCGACTCCTCAGCCCTTCAGCCCCACATCACAGTGCCTCGTCTGCTGAGGCCACAGGGGCTTCCCCACTGGGACTGGTTTCCCCAGACTTCATCCTCCTTGTCCTCTCCTTGGTGGCCTGAAGACAGCGTGGCATAAGCATCAACCATTGACAATCCCATTAGCCTTACAGACGATTAATTGCCTCTTATGCAGCAGCAGTGCGCAGGGGTCGGGGGGGGGGCCTGTGGGCAGGGTGAGGAGCCCAGGTCCCATCCCACCCTTTGCCGTGACCCCCAGCTCAGGGATGGAGGTCGGTACTGCACTGGGGTCTGGGGAAGGCATTAGGAAGGAGGCTGCTGTCTCCAGAAGGTGGGCCATGAGAGCACGGGGCTGAGGGTAGTCCCTGTGCGCCTCCCAGGCATCATGGGTTCCAGGCTTTTGCTCAATGAAGTTAGCAAGACTGACAAGATCTCTTTGGAAGGACCCACTGTAGTCCCTCGGCCTCCCTGGGAGTATCAGGGGGATGGCCCAGCCCTTCCTCATCCTAGGGGCTCCGAGCTCACGAGTGATTACGTGCCTGCACTATCCGGGAAGTTGGAGGGGCCACACAGACACTCCTGCATACACGTCCCCAGGGTTTGCCAGGCCAGTGCAGTTCCCACTTTCTGGGTGCTTTCCGTCTCATCATCTCCTCTGTGCCTCTGCTCCCCGTCTGGGCACTGTGCAGGCCTGGCTGACAATGCCAACGACTTGGAGAAGCGGAGGCAGATCTATGGGCAGAACTTCATCCCTCCCAAGCAGCCCAAGACCTTCCTGCAGCTGGTGTGGGAGGCCCTGCAGGACGTAACCCTCATCATCCTGGAAGTAGCTGCCATTGTCTCCCTTGGCCTCTCATTTTATGCGCCACCTGGAGAGGAGAGCGAAGGTGAGGGGCAGGGCCCAGAGGGCTAGTGAGGGAGGGCCTGGCGGGAAGGGACAGAACAGTCGGGCTGCCGGGAAGGGAGGAATAAAACCGAGATGACGGAGGGTCACAGGATGTCCCTACCCCAGCGGCACAAAGGAGCTGACGGGAGTGGCTACTCTGCCAATTCGGTACTTCCTTCTGTCCTCGGGTGCAGCGTGCGGGAATGTGTCCACCGGGGCAGAAGATGAAGGGGAGGCCGAGGCTGGCTGGATTGAGGGGGCAGCCATCCTGCTATCTGTCATCTGCGTGGTGCTGGTCACGGCCTTCAACGACTGGAGCAAGGAGAAACAGTTCCGAGGCTTGCAGAGCCGAATTGAGCAGGAGCAGAAGTTCACAGTCATCCGGAATGGGCAGCTCCTCCAGGTCCCGGTGGCCGCGCTGGTAGTGGGGGACATCGCCCAGGTCAAGTATGGTGAGTGTGCTTGTCGTCACCCACTCTGTGAAGGAAGCTCAGCTCCCATTCTGGGGAGAGTGTGTGCTGGAAGAGACCCCTCCAGTGCAGGCCTTCTCCCCTGAAGGAGCATGTGTGCCTTCACCTGTGGGAGGCTGAAGGTGGGAGTGTGAGCAAGAGGCCCCAGGAAACAGACTGTCCCCACGTCCTGTCAAGGGCTTTCCCAGCACTGCAGGATGCTTCTTTTGTCCCCACTCTGTGGGAGCTGGGCCACAAGGCTAGGGGTGGGTGGATCTCCCCGGAAAGGAGGAGACCGAAGGAAGAGGCCCCCACATCCGACAGGACCTCCCCTGGGTGAGGCAGGAGGCAGCAGGGAGGAAGGCACCTGGACCCATAGCTTGTGGTTCTGGCTGCCTTGCTGGCCTTAGGAGACCTGCTGCCTGCCGACGGCGTGCTCATCCAGGGCAATGACCTCAAGATCGATGAGAGTTCCCTGACAGGAGAGTCGGACCATGTACGCAAGTCTGCTGACAAAGACCCCATGCTGCTCTCAGGTGAGGCCTCAGGACACTGGCCCAGCCCGTGGGGAGGCCGGGATGTAGCTGGCTGCACCGTGTGGACCAGCCCAGCACCCTTGGAAGCCATTTGGCCCTGCAACCCCCTCAACCAAGGCCACCCAGAGTAGCACTTCAGGTTAGGAAGACTACCCTCTGCAAGGCCAGAGCAGCCTGTGGGAGGCATGGTGGCGGCTGCTCCAGCCTCAGGGAGGGACATGGGACCTCCCAGCCCCGGAGGGCCCCTGGTGTCCTGAGTGAAACCTTTAGAAGTGGGAGCTGGCTCTGAATCAGCATAGCGCCATGTTCCTCCCCAGTCCAGACTCTCAAGAAGAGCCAGTGGGAACAGTGTTCTCTTTCCAGAAGGTTCTGGCTTAGCCCAGTGTTTATCCCAGTGACAAATGTGGTGTAAAGCAGGACAGAGAGGCTGGAGGCCCCAGGTGGGCCCTGTGAACTGCTGCTCCAGGCCAAGGATGAGGCTTCGGCCTAGGCTTAGGATCAAAGCAGCCTCCAGGGGCCTCCAGATGCTGAGTCCCTGCTTCTGGGATTCCTGGGACAGAACCTGTAGGTGCTGAGCACGCCTCCCACCCGGCGGTGCGAATCTCTGTCTCGGTCTCTCTGTATTGGCTGTGCCAGGCACTCATGTCATGGAAGGTTCTGGAAGAATGGTGGTGACAGCCGTTGGTGTGAACTCCCAGACGGGCATCATCTTTACCTTGCTTGGAGCTGGCGGAGAGGAAGAGGAGAAAAAGGATAAGAAAGGTAAGGCCGCATTGACCTCCAGTCCCCGGCGCCGATGAGAGCCGGCCCCTCTTCTACGCAGCTCACGCCTTCTTCTTCGCCTGCCTGCTGGCAGGCCCCTGCTGGCCCCCTCCCTGGCTCCAGCTCTGGCTTGGCTCGGGCTCTGGCTCTGGCTCTAGAAGAGCCAGTCCTCAGAGGCTGGGAAGACATACCGTCTCTTCTGATTCCTTTCAGGGACCCCTCTTCTGGAGTCTTTGCCCCAGAGCCAGCAGGACAGGGGTCCCCCAGTTCTGTGTAAAGACAGCTTCCCTCAGATGGCTATTCCCCAAAGGCTTTGGAACATGTTTGCCAGGATAGGGGAAGTGCCCTGCCTCACTTAGTAGGGATGGGATCAGAGGGACAGGGGCCAGCCACCCCGGCTTAGGAGAATGTTGCTGGCGGGGTTGGGGGGGGTTGTGCCCACCCTAGGGAGTGCCCGACTGCCACGCTGAAGTGCTGAGGCCAACGTAGCAGCTAGGGAATGCAGGTCATACAGCCAGAGGTGGAGGGATCCCAAGCAGAAGGGACCCCAAAGGACGTCCAGGGCCAGAGGAAACTGGGATGGGCAGGGTCCCTCACTCCAAGGAAAAGCAGTATTGAGGGACAGATGTCTTCTGAGAACCCAGCTCTGTAGCCATCCTGACCTCCCTGCTGCCTCCTCCTGCCTCTGCTCTGAGCCCTAGCCATGGCCAGTGTCCCCTCCAGTCCTCAGAACTTACAAAGCTACAGAACTGCCCTCAGCATCCACACCCCTGTCCCGGTCCCTCAGATCAGGACCCCATTCTCTTCTGTGATGCAAGCCTGCACCTGCTCACGACTCACCTTGCTCTGACCTGGGTCTCCCCTCAGGCTGCTCCTGTAGTCAAATCAGGTGGGGAGCGGAGTCTGCTAGATGTGTTCCTCACCTCTGAGTGAATCCACCAGGGCCCACTTAGAAGTACAAAGAAACTGCACACATGCAGAGAGAGCGTGTGCTGAACCTGCAGCCAGGGCCCCTAGGCTCCGTTAGATGCTGGGGCTGGTGAGCTGGGCAGGGGACAGAGGAGTGCCAGTCACCGGCCCCACCTCAGGCAGTCAAGGCCGCTGGGCCTGAAGAGCAGCAGGCATCAGCTTGCCCAGCCCCAGCAACACGGGGACAGGTCAGTATGAGGAAGGACATACTAGTGTCCTTGACCACCCTGCTCCTGGAGGTGGTAAGGGAGAAGATAGATGAGCTGCTGTTGCTTAGAAGCTCCCGTGGGCCCTGTCCACTGGGACCTTCCAGCTCCTGACTGGCCACGCCCACCCCTCACAGCCAACTGACATATGGATGAACCCTCATCCACCTTTGCCACACCCAGCCCCCTCTCCCTGCAGGACTTGGCCCAGTGCCTCTCCACAGTAAGCATCGTGGGGTCCACAAGGGGGTGAGTGGGTGTCGACACCCTCATGGCTAGTTGGCAGGGCATCCCTTCCACACTCCTTCCTAAGCCCCTCCTCTTCAACCTTGACAAAACCCCTGCAGCCCCCACCCAGGTCCCTCCCCGCCTCAGATCCTCTGCCCGCGCATCCTTCTCCAGCATCCCAGGCTGGGCTACTTAGGAGTCAGACGGAGGACTTCCACCAGCCAGCTTCCTGGAGAAGGGAAACCCTAAGGGGGCCCTAGAGAGGGAGCAGAGCTGGCTAGACTCAAGGGAGGGGGCAGCAGCACCCATGAGCCCTCACTGAGGTCTCAGCCCAAGGCTCTGGACCACTGGAGACAGGAATGTGGCCACAACCAGTGCCTTGCCCTCACTGCATCCTGACCCCATCTATCAGCACACATTCCCTGTCCACCTGCTGCCCCCTCACCTGTTTCTTGCCTTTTGGCCTTGATTCCTAACCACCCTTCTCCTTGGGCTGCCCTCCTTCCCCTCCTCAGCTCCTGTCCCTCTTCAGGCAGAGCACAGTCCTCCTCTTCCTGTAGTGTTCATCCCAAACCTCCCTCCCTTCTCCCTGGCCCTGTCTGCAGCCTAGGTCCTCTGGATCTGTCCTTCTGGGCCATCACAGCCCCAGGGCTTCTAGCAACAGCTGCTCATTTCACTGTATCGTCACCATGTGTCTAGAGGTGTCTCCTCTCCCCTCAGAAGTCTCCTTCACCTCGGAACTTCCCTGCACTCCCACCCCCAGGGGTCCTGGGCAAGGAGGACCCAACCCACACCCTACAGAGGGCCTCTCCCTCCTCCCTGGGGCCCTCAGACCAAGACCAGGCCCCACAACCTGGGAGTCACCTGGCATCCTGTCTGTGTTCGTGGATCCCCAGTAACATGAGCTATTGGGTGGTGGCTCCCAGGTCAGCCCACATGCCCCTTCTGTCCCCAGGTTGGTCATCTCTGGATTTGGCCACCTCCCATGTGGCCCCCAGGAGGAACTGGGGTACAGAGCCGGGCCCCTAGCATAGCTTCCGGCTCCCTGCCGCAGTCCCCTCACCTGTCAGGTCTCCTGGGCCCTCCCAGAGTTGCAGTCCCTCCTGCCCTTGGAAATCAGGGGCTTTACCAACAGTTTACCTTGGCCTTGGGAAGTTGGTTACTGCACAGTCCCTGACACCCAGCTGCAGGCTTTGTGGTTGCCGAGCACTTCAGGGAGCTCCTGTGTTTGAGTAACAGTTGTTGGCTGCAGGGGCTATAGAGGAGGCAGCCTGGGTCGTTGCCCTCTCAGATGCACTCACCCTTGAGCCCCCAACCCATCCCATGTTCCTGCTTCTCCCTCCAGCGCTAGGTGCCCGGCACCCAGCTGGGCGTCCAGAGCCCAACAAATTCCTAGAGTCTCTCACCTTTGTCCCTTTAAAGTACACATAGATCTAACTGCGGGTCATGCTATAGAGAAAGCTGATCTCTAGGCCACCAGAGAACCATCTAGGTAAACTCCTTGTGCTGGTTTGGGGGGGTGAAGGAGGGAGGGGGCTTCTCAAGGTGGTAGAGCTGGGATCAGACACCTGGCAGCTCTCACTCCCTGTGGTGATGACCCTTCCAGAAATCTCCCACTGACACTCATCTATGACCCAGGGTCCATCCAGGGCTGGCTTTGGGAGTTCACTGCAGGGCTGGGGTCAAGGCCCAGTGGGGAGCCCTGGCTAGGGGTCCCGCTCAGGAAACCCAAGTGCTTGTGGTGCCCATGTGCCGGTAAAAGGGCATCAGCATGAGCCTGGGACAGGGCCCTCCTCCCCTCCCTCCCACCTTTCCCCTGTGCTCACTGCCGCACTGTCTGTGCCCTGCTGTCCTGTGTGCATGTGTCAAGGCCATGTGAATGTTCTCAAGTCTCCGTGTCTGTCGTTCCTTTTCCATTGTAGGCAAGCAGCAGGATGGGGCGATGGAGAGTAGCCAGACCAAAGGTAATGCAAGCCCCGTACTCAGGGTGGGGTGGGGTGGGGAGGATGGATGGGTGAAGCATGGGGTAAGGGTCCGCCTGCTTCACTTGCAGGCGCATCACCTATAGACCAGGCATCCTGGTGAGGGAACTGAGGCTCAGAGACAGTGACTTGCCCAAAGACTAACAAGGCCTGTGGGTTTCCAAGTTCAGCTGCCTTTCTGTTGGGCAGCCATCTGAGGGGCTGAGGCCTGCTGTCTTCTCAGCCCCAATGCCTGCTGGGAGCCAAGCCTCTGTGGCTGGGATGAAGGCTTGTTAACGGTCGGTCATAGGCATTGGGACTGCAAAGGTAGCTAAAGCACTGTCCCATCCCTCAGAAAGGTTACAGTCCAGAAAGACGGACCTGGAGGCAGTACTCAAGTACAGCGTGGGACCCAGGGACCAAAGAAAGGGTCAAACAAGAAAACCAGTGTTCAGAGCATAGCTGGGTTTGAGAAGGCATTTAGGGCAGGGTGACAGTCTGATGGCTATGGCCCTGGGTTGGGACAGGGAGTGACAGTCAGTGGGGCATGAAGCTAGAGCGGCCTAGCAGGATGGACCCTTGACTGTCTCTGAGGCCATGGGCTGTGGCCTGAGGCCCTTAGGAAGAAGACACCAGTGTGTAGTCTCAGGCAGGCCAGGGAAGAAAGGATAGGTAGAAAGACTGGAGCAAGAGGGCACAGACAACACAACAAGGTGGCAGGAAGCACGCAGAGGTAATGTCTGGGGTACCAAGAGCCCCTCTGGGTGAGGACAAGAGCGGTGAGGCAGAAAGATGAGTGGCAGAGTTGGGTGCCCCCCTCTGGGTGGGAGATGGACAGGATCACAAGGGGCAGTGCAATTGGACACCCACAGGCCACAGAATATGTGAGGTTGACAGAGGTGATGGAGGCAGGGTGGGGACACACCACCATCACCACCTTGTCAGGAGCGCAGGGCAACTGGGGAAGCCATGAGGGGGCCGCTTGTTCCAGAGAGGAGACAGGGAGGTGGCTGAAAGAGTTTCAAAGGAGTATTTCCAAGAAAAGAGAGGTACAAGACTTGCCTAAGGCAGCTCGCTCAGTTAATAACCTCCAGCAAGCAAAGACCGGGCTGAGGAGAACGCTAGTAATTAGGTGGGGACCTGATGGAAGTCCAGAGGCTGGCAGGAAAGAGACAGCCTGAGCAGGAAGCAAGAGAGGAGTGTGCAGGGGTTACTGAGCCTCTCTGAGGGAAGCAGGGAGGTGGCTGGGACACCAGTGGGCCAATAAGTCAGTCAGCTCAGGGTTCTAGAATGTTCCTTGGGCTCCAGGCCTCTGCTCTCAGGTATTGAAATTTGGGGCGTTCCAGGACTGGCCACCCTGTCTGTGTGCCTAAGTTACTCGTGCTTGTGTCTGTCTTCCCTTCCCCTGTGAGGCCTCAAGAGAATCATCTCCACCCCTCCCAGGAGGGTCTGGGCTGCCAAGGACAGAGGGGGAAGAGGAGGTAGCCCCTGCGCTGTGTGGCACTCAGAAATCAGAGAAACCCCCTGAACCTCATGTCCTCTCATATGGCATGGCATGTCTTTCCCTACGAAAGCCCCTTGTAGCTGTTACCCCAGCCACGGGCCCTAAACTTGGCTGTGGGGCTCCTCTATATGCAGCTAAGAAGCAAGATGGGGCAGTTGCCATGGAAATGCAGCCTCTGAAGAGTGCGGAGGGTGGGGAGATGGAAGAGCGGGAGAAGAAGAAAGCCAGCGTGCCCAAGAAGGAGAAGTCAGTCCTGCAGGGCAAGCTCACCAAACTGGCCGTGCAGATCGGGAAAGCAGGTGAGAGCTGCAGAGGGACGGCCCAGGGCCCACGGTCAGGCAAGGAGGACACCAGGTCTCCTGGACATGAAGCTGGGCCAAGGAGAGCAAGTGGGAAATAGATGTGCCAGGTGGTATGGGCCAGGCAACAAGGGGACAGGCCAGGGGTGGACAGTGGCCATCAGGGTGAGCATGGATTCTAAACCTTCCGTAAGGCCTGGGACAGGGAGCACCTCCCTGGACTCAGCTCAAGCTGGTGCTAGCTGCAGCGTCCCTTACTTCTTCCCTCTTGCCTTCTCCCTTTCTTGCCCCTGCCAATCGCCTTTCCTACCCCCACCCTCTGTGGTCTCTGTTGTGGTTGGGCAGGGCTGGTGATGTCCGCCATCACCGTCATCATCCTGGTCCTGTACTTTGTGATTGAGACCTTCGTCGTCGAGGGCCGGGTGTGGCTGGCAGAGTGTACGCCGGTCTACGTGCAGTACTTCGTGAAGTTCTTCATCATCGGTGTCACTGTGCTGGTTGTGGCTGTCCCGGAAGGCCTGCCCCTTGCTGTCACCATCTCCTTAGCTTACTCTGTCAAGGTAATAATACAAAACACAGTAGTACAGAGAATCCGTGATACCAGGATACAGACCCCAAAACTGGGGTGTGAAGCCAGTAGGCACATTGGAAGCAGTGAGGGCTAGAGAAAGTTTGGGATCCATCACTCAGGGGAAGAGCGGGGAGGCTGAGCTAAGACCCAAAACTGAACTTGGCCAATCCTTCCCCAGCCGGCTTCCTGGGCACCGTGAGATGAGCCAGGAAGCTGGTGGGCGGTGGGATAGATCTGGCATCTGCAGAATGAGCACAAGGAGCACAGCAGGGCCAGGGAATTGAGGGCGCTGGTGACGCTTACAGGGGTGGGGGCAGGAGAGAGTCCCACTGGGAGACAGTGGACAGAGCATGGCAGAGATGGGGGCCCTGCAGGGCCAGCAGGTGACCTGAGAGGGCATCGTGGGTAGGGGAGTGATCCTGGGCAACAGGGAGGGCCTGGGTGAGCTCCGAGGGGAGTGGCCTCCCAGAGTTGGCCAGTCGGCCTGTCTGATGAGAGTCCTTATGCCTTACAGGCCTGCTGCCTAGGTTTGACCACCACCCTGCAGCCACTTCAAACTGTGGCTTTGGGCACCGCTGTCAGCCCAGTGGTGAGGGTGCCTGCTGACCGAGGCCCCTCAGGCTATTAGTGCCACATGGAAAGTTGGTTGGGCACAGCAGATCATGCATGACCTCTGTGCCCTTTACAGAAAATGATGAAGGACAACAACCTGGTCCGCCACCTGGACGCCTGTGAGACGATGGGCAATGCCACAGCCATCTGCTCGGACAAGACGGGCACGCTCACCACCAACCGTATGACCGTGGTCCAGTCCTACCTCGGGGACACCCACTACAAAGAGATTCCGGCCCCCAGTGCCCTAACCCCAAAGATCCTTGACCTCCTGGTCCACGCCATCTCCATCAACAGTGCCTACACCACCAAAATTCTAGTGAGCCAAGAGTGGGGTTGGGACGAGGGAAGGGGCCCGGCTGGGGGTGCCGCGGGAGCTGTCGCCAAGGGCTCAGTAGGCTCTCTTAAGAACTTCTGACCAGAGCTATAATTGTCCCTGGGGTGCTGGCCACCCTCCCCTCGTCCCTGGCCCCTAGTACTCCTGCCCTGGCTGCTGGTTCTGGAAGCTCCTTCCAAGCCCAGTGAATGGTGGGCAACCTGCCTGTTTAGTCCACACTGGAAGCCCTCCTCGGCTCTCTGCCGCCACACCCTAGAGACATGGTGACCGTGGCCGGGCTGGGGCCCCAGGGGTAGCAAGGAGGGTGTACTTGGGCCCCCGGCTCCATGCTGGTCCACCTCACCTCGCAGCCTCCAGAGAAGGAAGGTGCCCTCCCGCGCCAAGTGGGCAATAAGACGGAGTGTGCTCTGCTGGGCTTCGTCCTGGATCTGAAGCAGGACTTCCAGCCTGTGCGGGAGCAGATTCCGGAAGATAAGCTTTACAAAGTGTACACCTTCAACTCGGTCCGCAAGTCCATGAGCACGGTTATCCGCATGCCTGACGGCGGCTTCCGCCTCTTCAGCAAGGGTGCCTCGGAGATCCTGCTGAAAAAGTGAGTGGATCACAGGAGCAAGCCCAGGGCTGGGGACACCAGGGGCTAGGAGCTTGCTGAAGCACTCAGGCCTTCTGGTTGATCAGTTCAAGGTGCTATGTTCAATCTTAATTGCAGGTGGGTGTAGCCCACCATCCTATGCGGGAGTAGAACAGGCAACCTTGTTGTTAGGAGTACGTGCTCTCACCAGCTGAGCCATCCTGCCACCTGTTGGCAGCTCGGCAGCAGCTCAGCTCGGGTGCAGCTTGCTGGCCCATGTGGGAATCGAACCGGTGACGCTATTGCTCAGAGCTCGCACTCTTAACCAACTGAGCCACTCGGCCAGCCCCTGAGCATAACATTTTTAAGGTTCATCCGTCATAGCATGGATCCGTGCTTTATTCCTTTTCATGGCTGAATAATATTCCACTTCATGGCTAAACCACATTTGGTTTATCCAGCCATCCATGACAGACACTTGGGTTGCTTCCACCTTTTGGCTACTGTGAATCATGCTGCTAGGAACATTCCTATCCACATTTTTGTTTTCAGTTCTCTTGTATATACAGAAGGTGCCAAAAAAATGTATACACATTTAAAGAAAGGATAAAAACTATTAAAATTGTAATACTCAATATATACCAATAAAAAAAGATGAATGCAAGTCACGTTTGACTTCTGCAATTACAAGAGGTGCTTAAAGTGGTTCCCATCAGTGTCCAGACACTTCTGATGATGGCGAACTACCACTTGAGCAACGTTGGCCGAAGTGTCCACTTGTATACATTTTTTGGGGGCACCCCTGGTATTCCTAGGAGTGGAATTGCTGGGTCATGTGGTAATTCTGTGAATAGCTTATTGAGGAACCACCATAGTGTTTTCCACAGCAGCTGTACCCACCAGCAATGCATGATGGTTCCAACATCTCCTCATGCTTGCCAACATGTGTTACTTTATGATCATCATCATCATCATCATCATCACCATCACCATCCTAGTGGATGTGAAAGGGGTCCTCATGATGGTTTTGATTGGCATTTCCCTGATGACTGGTGATGTTGGCACCTTTTCATGTGCTCGTTGGCCATTTGCACATCTTCTCTAGAGAAATGCCTATTTAGGTCCTTCACCCATATTTGATTTGAGTTGTTTGTCCTTTTATTGTTAAGCGCTGTAAGAATTCTCTACGTATTCAGGATACTAGATCCTTAACACATATCTGATTTGTAAATATTTTCTTCCATTTTGTGGACTGTCCTTTCACTCTCTCGATAGATTTTGTTTTTCTTTTCACTCTTGATCCATCCTTGAATGCGCAAATGGTCTCTCATTGTGAAGTCCAGTTTATCTCTTTTTTCCTTTTGTTGCCTGTGCAGGGTTTCTTTTACAGTGATGAAAATGCTCTAAAGTTGGCTGTGGTGATTCACAGTTGCACAACTCTGTGACTATACTAAAAGCTACTGAATTGTACATTTTTAAAGGGTGAATTATGTGGTGTGGGAATTATATCTCAACAAAGCTGTCAGAAAAACGGAGGGGAGAGCATGCAGTTCTGCCTCCAAGTGCCCCAACACCCCTAAGCAGGATCAGCCTCCACACCTCCCCTTGGCTCTGGCCTCTCTTCCCCAGTATTGCAGCAGCTCCACCCACCCGCCCCTCCCCACCTGCACATCGCCTACTACAGAGCCATCTTCTAAGATGTGACCTGATTGTGCCTCCACATTCATAGGGCTTCCTTCCGGGAAGCCTTCCGGGCCCTTCAGGATGCAGTCCTCAGCAGGCTATCCGGGGCTCCTGGCACCCCCACGACCACCGAGTGTGACCCCCACTGGCCCTGTCCTGGCCTCTGCTGACCACTGCCCCGCCCAGAATGCTCTCCCTGAAACTTCACCATGCACAGCCTCCCCACCATGGTGCAAAGGCCGCCTCCTCCCTGAAGCCATCCCTAATGGGTCTCAGTGGGTGTGGCAGTTAGACTTGGAGAAGCACGGAACAGGGCTGTTGTTGGACACTGGACTCCAACTCTGGCTTCACTCTTGCCTGATTGTGTGAATGTGAGCAAGTAACTCCCCTGCCCCAGGCCTCAGTTTCCCCTGTGACATGGAGATAGCAGGAATACGTACCTGCTGCGTGTGTTGTGAGAATTATACAAGTAAATCCATGCCAGTTTTTACTGTGATCTTGGTTCCTCTTTCCTTCTTTACTCCCCCAGCATGTCTGCCTCTGAAGCCCTTGGCTCCTCTTCCACACCTGAATCCTGCCAGCCCTCCCCATTCCAGCCCTTCTGAGAAGCTTCCAGGGTCACCAGAACTTGTGATGTAGTTGTTGCCTTGTCATGGCCTGCTCAGTGGCATCCAGTTTTCTCCAGTGTGCCACACTCTTGCCCTAAAGCCCAGCAGAGCAAGGGTGATATATCCCAATTCCCGTAGAGCCTGTGAGGAGCTGTGAGGAGCCCCGCGCTCCGGCCTCCCACCAACCTACTACCCTATACCAGCCTAGGAGTTTCCGGCTCCTGGGGCTGCCAGAACAAAGGACCATAAACCGGATGGCTTACAACAACAGAAATCTATTTTCTCCCAGTTCTGGAGGCCAGAAGTTCAAGATCAAAGTGTGGGCAGGGTTGCACTCCCTCCAAAGCCTCCAGGGAAGAGTCCTTCCTTGTGTCTCCCATCTTCTGTTGTCACTGGCAATCTTTGGCATTCCTTAGCTTATAGACGCATCACTCCAGTCTCTGCTTCCATCCCCATGGCCTTGTCCTTGTGTATGTCTGTCTCTATGTGTCCTCTTTGGTTTTTATAAGGACACCAGTCATTGGAGTGAGGGCCCACCCTAAGCCAGTGGACCTCACCTTAACTTTGCAACCACCCTATTTCCAAATCAGGTCACATTCTGAAGTTCAGGGAAAAACATGAATTGGTGAGGGACAGACGACTTGGCCCCATGCAAACAGAGTGCCTCCCTCCTTGGAGAAGCCTCTGCCATGTCAGATGGTGGCTCAGACCCAAGGCTGCCCAGACTCTCAGCTAGCCGGGCTCCCCTTGCTCTGTCCCCTCCCCAGGTGCACCAACATATTAAACAGCAACGGCGAACTGCGCAATTTCCGCCCTCGGGACCGGGATGACATGGTGAAGAAGATCATTGAGCCAATGGCTTGTGATGGCCTCCGCACCATCTGCATCGCCTACCGGGACTTCTCTGCCACCCAGGAACCTGACTGGGACAACGAAAACGAAGTCGTGGGTGACCTCACCTGCATAGCTGTCGTGGGCATCGAGGACCCTGTGCGGCCCGAGGTACCCATCCACTCTTTTGGGAGCAGCCTGGGTTGTCAGAATGGAAAGAGGGGCAGCCCTTCTTCTCATCTGGCCTCCACGGTGTGGCCTTTGGACATAAATGCAGGAGAGAACTGCCCCTTTCTCTTGCCTTCCCGGCTGTCACACCGCTTCCTGCCAGAGTTATATGTAGAGCAAACTGACCATGTACAGGAGTCTGGAAAGGTGGGCAATGGCAGAGCTCCAGGGAGCATGGCCACTGCACCCCAGATCAGACCCTCTATGGTGCACTTGATGTTCCTTGTCCTCTTCCCCTTGCACTCACATGGAGGCTCTGTCCTCCCTGCTGGAATGCCCCCTCCTGGTTGGCCTCCAGGCCCAGCTCAGGCTCTGCCTCCATCAAGTGAGAAAGAGCAGCAGTTAGAACTTCAACAGCTGTGACACACACAGGACTGATGGAGGGAGAGGGAGGAGCCAACACGAATCCCAGGGCTTTGCTTTGGAGAAGTGAGTGGATGGCGCTGCCATCACCAGGCTGAGAAGTCCAAGGGGACAAAGGCTTGGGAAACGAAGCAGGGTAGTTGTTGGTCGAGTGTTTGAGTGGGGCCAAGTGAGGTCCGGGACATCCCTATGGAGATGTGAAATGGGTAGGTGGCTGTGGGAGTAGAGAGCTCAGAGCAATGGTCCTGGCAGGAGACCTTCCCAAAATGTCTTTATGAGTGATATCTTGGGGAAGGTGTGCCGCTAGAGCAGAGGAAGGAGGAACCTTCAAAGGAGACTGAAAGGAAGGGGCCAAGCAGGGAGGGGAAACTGCCAGAGCCATGTGACCTAAGGAAGGAGGCAGCTTAGCACAGCCCCAGCAGAGGCAGGCCCTTGACATTGGGAAGTCATTGGAGACTTTGACTGGAGCAGATTCTGTGGGATGATGAGGCAGGGAGCCAGCACATGCAGATAACTTTCCCGAGACCTTTTCTGAAGAGAAACAGGGCAGAAGCTGAACATAATGGAGAGTGAAGGACTGATGGGGAGGGTGGTTTGTCCTTCAAGATGGAAGATCTTTCAGGGAGGGGGAGCCTGCCAGGGCTGGTCCTGGAGTGGAGTGCCAGTGGCTGCTGTAGCACACCAGGCCCCGGAGGGAGTGTGTGAGGCACAGGAGGTGCAGGTTGCCAGGGGCAAGGAGGAACCCTCTCTCTCCTCCCAGGGCCTCTCCAATGACACCCACCTCATGTCAGAAGCAGGTCTACCTTGACCCCGCTGATGAGCCTGAGCACGTGTATGTTTACCATCAGCCCTGGGGGGTGCTGAGACGAGGGAGGAAAAGCTTCTGGGCTATCCTTCAGGAGACAGGCACTCCCACACTAGATCACATACGAAAGACCCACAATTCAGAAGGCAGTGCTTGCCACATCTACACACCTGTCACAGGTCATCAGCGATGACATGTCCCCAGATCCAAGGAGACTGGGACCACCATGTGCAGAGAGGGAAGCAGATGGTGGCAGAGGGGAGGGGAGAGACTTCCAGACAGAGCAACAGGCTCAGGGAAGGGGGCAGGGAGAGAGGGTGCTGCTCAGGGCAGCAGGGCCACCTCCGGGGACACGGGGGCCAGGCCTTTCCCTTCATTGGACCAGGAAGAAACTGAAGAAAAGAGCAGAGGAGGGTTGTGTCCGCACAGTGAAGCTGAGTCATAAAGCCATGTTGCCCTTGCATAGACCTGATGGCCTCCTCCTTCCAAATGGAACAGTTCACACACACACACCTGCCCCCTGTCATGGCTAAAGGCCCCTGGCTGGTGTTCAGTGCCACTCCGAGGGTGGTGGGTGTCCCCTCCTTACTTCCTGGGAGGTGTCTGCAGTGGCAACTCTAGACTTGTCCACCCAGCTTGCTGGGACTGCATGACGCCGCCAGAAAGCTGGAGCTCCTTTGGAGTGTGTCACAGACCACGGAAGGTGACATTTCTGGATTCCCAGGGCCCTGGCCAAGGCCATTTCTCCACCATCATAACCAGCCCGCCCTCCCCTTCCACCAATGGAAGGAGGGGTGTGAAGCGTGAAGCAGCTCTTGGCTGCACTGCATAAGGAGCCATTCTGGCCTGATTCCCTGGGCCAAGGAGCCCTACAATCTGGTAGCAATATTTGTTGAACGAACCACAGCTGAGTCATAGATGCAAGGCCGGGGGCCTTCGACGTATTTGTAGATCTTCTGGTCCAAGTCAGCTTATTTACAGAAGTGCTCGTGAGGCCAGACTGGGGGTGACAGGAGAAGATGGAACTATCTAGAAGGGCTGCACATGGGTGCTGTGAGGCCCAGCTGTTCTTCTGCTCAGCACGCTTCTCAGAGTGGGATGTTATTCTTTTTGTAAGTTTTCATCTTAAAACATGTGGGACACAAGCACAAGTCCCTCAAAGGGTATAATGAAGGCCCAGGGGCAGAGGCTGCCAGCAGGCAGAAGCATGGGGCAGGAGAGGCCCGAGGCCAGTCAGTGACGGCTGCTTGTTTCAAATCCAGAAATGGCTTTGGTAGCAGGGCCCAGGGAAAGGGTTTCAGAGTGGCTGAGTGAGAGTCTGCACAGCAGATGGCACCCACACGGCAAGGCTGGGGAGGCCAGGCAGACCCTCATGGAGACCAGCCAGCTGAGTGTGGGCCAAGGAGGGAGCAGCCAGGGCCCAGCGGAGTCCTGGGTGCTGATGCAGGCAGGAGGGTGGGTGGGGTTCTGTTAAACCTTGGAGGCCCGGATGGCTACAGCCAGAGGAGGGCAAAAAGGCCCTGGAGGCAGGCTCTACTAATGTTGAGCAGGCTGGGCCAGGACTGGGCTAAACGGAGGCAAGTAAGGAAAGACAGTCGCTCTGTGAAGGAGAGGGCACCTGCAGAGCAGGGGCAGGGGGACCTTCCTGCTCCCTACATGGAGCAAGCAAGTGAGGCCCAGGTGCAAGGCTCTCAGGCCACAGGCTCATCACAGCCACTTGGTGGCAGCAGAGGAGTGGCTTCCAGACGCTTCAGGGACTGGAGGGAGCTCCTTAGAAGGAGAGCATCTCCCTGTAGCTGATCATCCAAGAGCCCCGAAGAGCTGACAGTGTCCCTGATGCTGGGGGTGCAGGAGGCAAGCCCCCTTCCTGGGTCTCAGCCTTCCAGGCCCAGGCTTGCTTCAGGGATCATCAGGTCACTGTCACAGCCCTGAAGTGGGGGCCCCTCTGACTGTGCCCCAGCCCCCCTCCTTCTCATGCTCCTTCTCTCCTTGGCTAAAATCACAGCCACCCCTCATGACCTCGGGGTTCACCAGCGTGCAGGACCTCCCTGGTCAGCGTCCACCTGCACCCCTCCTGACCCCACCTTCTGCCCACGTCCCCTGGGGTCTCCTGGCTGCCCTATACCACCCCTACTGCCTGGTGACCCAGCTCACACCCCTGTTCCTGGGCTCCCAGGCCTGGCCACACCTAGGACACCATGTGCTCTCTCACTCTCTCCCTTCTGGCTCAGACTGCCCCAGTGCCTCCGTCTCAGCTGGGAGCAGTGAACACCCATCAGGTGGGCGTGCTGGGCCCATCACACAGAGATAGGACCCGGGTCCCCAGGCTGCACCCCTTGCCGGGGCTGCATCTGGGCATCTCACAGGCCTAGGCCTGACCTTATCCAATTCCCCAAGCTCTGAGCCTGTTGCTCCTCCTCCTCCCCCACTCCCCTCCCTGCAGCCTCCGGGCTCAAGAGCCCTACCTCTGCATTGGTTTGGGAACCCAGGCAGCTTCACTCTTTGGTATTATGCCACCACCTCCCGCTGGTCTCAACTCCCTTCAACCCATTCTCCACTCAGCACTAGGGGGAGCTATTTTTCTTCCCCCTTTCCCAGAATCTAATACTATATTTGGCAAATGGAAATGTGTGCTATGTAACCAAGCAATGTTCCATTTCCCCTCATTACTAGTGAGAATACTCTTATCATGTAAAACCTGTGGCTCTAAAGGTCTAGGTTTTATATTGTTTTGTTTTTTTAAAGTAGGGGGAGACAACTGAGAGAGGTGCCCAGACCTTGGCCACAAGCCAGCAGATGGCTGGCAGCCTGCCCTGAGTCAGGCCCCAAAGGGACAGGCCCACAATGGGCCCTGCCATCTGGCAGGGTGACTAGGGGCAGAGGTTCCTTTCTCATTCTTCCAGAGCTGACACAGCCGCCATGCTAGCTGGCCTGGAAACTGGGGCTGGTCCTAGTTTGGCGGCTCTGGGTCACCATATTGCAGTGGAAAATGAGGTTGGTGGAACTGGGTGACTTCTACAGTCACTTTTCCAGACATGACCCAAACTGTGCCCCCTCGACAAAGTAATAGCTTCTAGTGGCTTCTCCCAGCCTTGCGTGGTGTCAGGGCCTGGATCTGAGCCATTGCTGGTCCCTGGGGCCCGGCAAAGTGAACGAGGCACCTTGGAGATATGGGGGCTGAGGGACTGGGGGAGACGCCCTGCTCACCGCGGGCTAGGCTGATGGCGGTGGCAGAGCAGACAGGCCATTCTCCCGGCCTCCTCCAGGCCCACCCCTCCACAGAGGCCCTTCCCCAGGACCACAGAGGTGGTGGGGGTGCTGCAGATCTGGTCGGAGAAAAGGGTACGGCCTGGACACAATTATATCTTGTCTTGATGGCCTCATCCATCTCTATTGTCTCCTCCAGGTCCCTGAAGCTATCCGAAAATGCCAGCGTGCTGGCATTACAGTCCGCATGGTGACCGGGGACAACATCAACACGGCCCGGGCCATTGCGGCCAAGTGCGGCATCATCCAGCCCGGGGAGGACTTCCTGTGCCTAGAGGGGAAGGAGTTCAACCGGAGGATCCGTAACGAGAAAGGCGAGGTAGTTCCCAGCCCACCTGCCCTTTCGCAGGGGGCTGCCTGGCTCTGTCCAGGGTTCCAGCTATTTCTCCATGCCCACCCCCACCTCTGCTCAGCCCTGCCTGCCTGCCTGCCTGGCTCTGCAGTGTCTGTGTGCTTCTCCCCTCAGATAGAACAGGAGCGTCTGGACAAGGTGTGGCCCAAGCTGAGGGTCCTCGCCCGATCGTCTCCCACAGACAAGCACACTCTGGTTAAAGGTAATGGAGCGAAGTCACTCCTGCTTGCCTCTGTCCCTGCCCCTGCCCCTTCCCCTCCCCTTTCCAGATGTGGCATGACGCTGGCTGGGTGTGACCATCACACTGGCATGTTTTCTACTCCCAGATACCCAAGGCTGAGCTCCCAAATAGGTCTCCAGGGCCTGTCTAAAAAGTGGGGTCCTCGGATCTAGACCTGTTGCTGCTGGAGAGTTGGCTTGTGTCTCAGAGCAAGTCACTGGCCTTCCCTAAACCTCAGTTTACTCATTGAGAAAGTGGGGATAATGATTGAGATCCCCTCAAAGGGCTGACATGCCAGAGCTCACCCCTCCATTTCTCTGGACTAACAACATGAATGAAAGATGCCAGGAGAGCCTGGCTTCTCATCATAACAGATGGGGAAACTGAGGCCCAAAAGGGGGAGAAATTTATCCAAGTCACACTGTGCTGGGCCCCTGCCTTCTACCAAATCATGCCATCCTGTATCATCTCACTGAGTGATGAACCTGGGCGGGAGGAGGAGGACAGGGCTCCCAGTCAAGGCATAGGGACTTGATCCCAGAGGTGACAGGGAGCACAGAGGATTGGGGGCAATAGTCACAGTCAAAATCCCAGAGGGTGTCCAGAGACAACTGGCCCCCCACAGCCCCAGGGCTGGTCACGCAGGGCCCTACTCTGTGTTCCAGGGATCATTGACAGCACCACCGGTGAGCAGCGGCAGGTAGTGGCCGTGACCGGGGATGGCACCAACGATGGGCCAGCCCTCAAGAAGGCGGATGTGGGCTTTGCCATGGTAAGCTGCCCAGTGCCAGCCTGGCTCACCATGCCAGGCAGGGCCTGGTGTCTCGAGGACATTAGCTTTGTGCAGGAATCTGGGAGCTAAAATTAAGGCAAGTTGCAGAGTGCTGGAAGTTTCTCTCACATCCTGGCCACTTGGGCCTCCGCAGGCTGTGACAGTGACAGGACACATGTATGATTTGTATCTGGTGTGGTGATGCCCGAGGTGACAATGGGGAATGGCCACATTGCCAAAGGGCTCTGGGGTGGGGGGTGCTTGTCAATTGTGTACCCACTTCACCCACTCCTGGTCCCGTCTAAGTGGACCTCTGCGCCAAGTGTGATCAGTGGAGTTCCCAAACAGGCTTTTTCTCTGCGCTTCTCTTCTGTTGCTTATATGGAGCTAGTTCTTTCTGTAAAACCCTGACCCCACTGAGTAGGGTGACCTGATGGACACTGCCCTGGTGGCTGGCCCTGGCACCATGGCATTCTGCAAGGAACTGCTTGGTTGCTGAAGGCAGAAACCCGACAAACCCTTTTCCCCACCCCACTGAGAAGGAATGTCCTTCACTCTGCCACATTCAGTGTGGCCCACTGTGGGCAGGCCCCGGGGGAGCAGGCCAGTCCTTCCCAGAACCCAAGACCCAGAGGAGGACCAACCCCAGCCCCTGGCCACTGCAAGAACCAAGCTGTCCCTGCTTCAGAGCCTTTGAGCAGCAATAACTGGGGTCCTTCCCCCAAATACCCCTGTGTGCACCAGGAGGACATGTCCTCGCTCTGCCAAAGGCATCCTGGTCCCGGACTCAGGGGCTCCTTATGTAGATGCTCTAACGTGCTAAGACCAGACAGAAGACCCATTGGTGGCCATGTGGTGCCGGCACCCTCTTTGTTTATCAGCAAAGCCGCGAAACAACCTGCCCTTAGTAGTACATGTATGCATTGGATAAAATGAGAACTGCTCCCAGCTGCTGGGGAGCCCCGTTTGGAAGGAAAGGCAGGGAGTCAGCCCAGGTGGGCCGAGTGGTTGAGGGGAGGTGGGGAAGGGGCCCGTGGACACTGTGTATGTGCCCCCCAGGGCATCGCAGGGACTGACGTAGCCAAGGAGGCCTCGGACATCATCCTGACCGATGACAACTTCACCAGCATCGTCAAGGCGGTCATGTGGGGCCGCAATGTCTACGATAGCATCTCTAAGTTCCTGCAATTCCAGCTGACGGTCAACGTGGTGGCCGTGATCGTGGCCTTCACGGGTGCCTGCATTACTCAGGTGGGCACTGGGGCCACCCTGCCTGAGGAGGACCCTGGGCTCTCCTTCCCACAACCCATGGGGCCTGCAGGAAGCAGTCAGTTCCCCAAGCCACGCCTGCCCCGTACACCCAGAACCCAGTGCAGAGAGCAAACCCAGGGGACCCTGCTAGCAGGAGTATGTGGGCCGAAGAGCTCCTGCCTGAGGGCTCATTTGGGAGAGACTTATGCTTTCTTTGTTGCAGATTTTTTTTATTGTGATAAAATTCACATACTAAAAAGTTCACAATTTCCAAGGGTACAATTCAGTGGCACTTAGTACACCGTCACAATGTTGTGCAAATATTACCTCTAGCTTGTTTCAGAAAATGTTTATCACCCCAAAAGGAAACCCCATACCCTTTAGCAGGCACTCCCCATTCTCCCTCCCCCAGCCCCTGGCAACCACCAATCTGCCTTCTGTCTCTACAGACTTGCCTAGTCTGGACACGTCATATAAATGGAATTAAATAATACGTGGTTGTTTGTGTCTGGCTCCTTCACTTAGCATGATGTTTTGAGGTCCATCCATGTTATAGCATGGATTCATACCTCATTCCTTTGATGGCTGAATAATGTTCCATTGTGCATGGCGACAGCACATGTGTAACCGTTCCTCCATCCATGGGCATTTGGGCTGTCTGTACCTTTTGGCTACTGTGAAAAACGCGGCTGTGTACATGCACGGATGAGGCTTTGTGTGGACCGATGTTTCCACTTCTCCTGGGTGTAGACCTATGAGTGGAAGGGCTGGGTCCGCTGGGAACTCCGTATTTAACCTTTGAAAGAGCCTCTTCCCCCTTTTCAATAGTCCATTTCTCCCCTTTAGTGAGTATCCAGAATTTCCCTCCCTTTCAAAGGATTTTTTATGGGGATAAAATTTACGTAACATAAATTGTACCACAATAGCTGTTTTTACCATTTATAAGTGTACAATTTTGTGGGTTTTAGTGCATTCCAAATGTTGTGCAACCATCACCACATCTCATTCCAGAACTTTTTCATCACCCCTGTACCCACGAAGCAATCACTCCCCGCTGTCCCCTTCTACAGACCCTGGAACCCACCCATCTGCTTTCTATCTCTGTGGATCTGTCAGTTCTGGAAGTTTCATAGGAATGGAATCATACAGTATGTGGTTGTTGTGTCTGGCTTCTGTGAGTCTGATTGTTAACCAATGACTCAGAGGCGATGAGAAGGAAGGTCCAGTACAGAGTCTCTGCCTCTTCTTGCCCCTTGGGTGTGGGAGACCAGGAGACCACCCATCTCTTTCACAGTCTGGGGCAACTGATGGGTGTTGTCAACCTCCTGCTACTAACTTGTACCACACCTTCTAGATCACTGCCACCAGGGGAGAGAAAAAGGGAGACGGGCAATATTTTCAGAGCAGGGATCGGAAAGCCCAGTGAAAACTCTCTGCTAACCTTAAGAAAACATAGGGATGGAGATGTCACCTTTTATGGGAAGGTTGGATTTGTTGCATTTTCTCTTGAATGAAATTCCAGTGACATTAACCCCCGAGCTGAGTTTCTTCCCAGGAGTTGGGGGCCAGTGGGTTTTCCAGCCCCACATTGGGGTAACTGCCTCCTCTCCACAGGATTCTCCTCTCAAAGCCGTGCAGATGTTGTGGGTGAACTTGATCATGGACACATTTGCCTCTCTGGCCCTGGCGACAGAGCCGCCCACTGAGTCGCTGCTGCTGCGGAAGCCGTATGGCCGGGATAAGCCTCTGATCTCTCGAACCATGATGAAGAACATCCTGGGCCACGCAGTCTACCAGCTCACCATCATCTTTACACTGCTGTTTGTAGGTAGGTTGGCCCCAGGACACACTGCACTGCTGCTAGCTCTGCAGCCTGTGACCCTGTCTGGTGGTGGAGGACAGAGATGAGCAGCCAGGGAGCCAATTTCCAGAGCGGACTCCTCGGCCCTCAGCCCCCTGCTGTCCCGCTTTGTGTATGCCCTACCCGGGTGTCACAGGCCCCTGAGCAGCTGAGAAACCGCCCACTGCTGCACAGAGCAGGCAACATGTGTCATCATAAACTGAGACCCAGATCACTCACCCCCTGCTTCTGTCCACTTGTCCAGAGGACAATGACTGGAGCACTGTGCTGTAAGTTGCGGGAGGAGGAGGACCAGCAGAGAAAAGGGAGAAAGGAGGAGGGAGGGAGAGTTAGAGGAGAGGCGGCAGAGAAGGGAAGCTAGCGAGGAAGAGGGAGGGGGAAGAGGGTAGGAGGAAGAAGAGGAAGAGAGAAAGGAGAAGTGGGAAAGAAGGAGCAAGGAGAGAGAGGGTAGCAAGGAAGAGAGAGAGCAGAAGTTGAGAATGGAGGAGGGAAGGAGAGGAGAGAGGGGTGGAGGAGAAAGAGGAGAGGGAGGCGAGGGGGAAGAGGGGGGTCAGGAAGCAAGAAGGGGGGAGGTGAGGAGCGGGAGAAGGCAGAGGCAGGAGTGTGGACAGCAGAGGAAAGGACAGGTCGGGAGAGGCTGGGCCAAGGGCACTCAGAGCGAAAACTGCAGGGCCCCCAGACATGGAGGGCACCGAGGCCTCCAGCACACTGGCTGCTTCTTGGAAGCCTGGTGCCAGTGGCAGCTAGCCTGTCCTCCTTGGAGCTTTCTGTGTCTCGCAGGCCCTGTTGAGCAGATTCCTTTATTTATTTATAACAGGGGTTGGGTTTGCCTGGGTGGCTGTCACTGTCCTCCAGAGCCTGGTGAGGCTCAGCTTTCAGCATGCATTCCTGGGAGCAGATTTAACCCTCAGAGTGCAGGAGGCACAGTGGGGGGACCCCAAATGTCAGTATCTGGAGGTACTCTGGAAGAGCCTCTCTCTGATTTCTTGGGAGCAAAGCCTGTCATGGTCTGCCTGAGGGCCTAGCCCGGCTGCCCTGTCCTAGGGGCAAGGCAAAGAAAGGTCAGACTACCCTGCACCCTGCAGCCCTCGACTCCTCCCCAGCCCACCCCCAGCTCAACCCAGCAGGCAAATGACAGATGCACCATGGGTGTGTCTTAACTTCTTCATTCCTGCCCTCAGATTTCCGTGCCAGCCCCTCAGCTCCCAGTTCCAGGCCCAGGCCTTGGCTGGCACCCCGTGGGGTGAGGGTCTCCTTACTCTCCCCTTCCAGTCATCTCACTGAGGGTCAGGGCTGCTCCCTCACGTGCCCCTTGGCTTGCAGGGGAGCTCTTCTTTGACATCGACAGCGGGAGGAATGCGCCCCTGCACTCCCCGCCCTCCGAGCACTACACCATCATCTTCAACACCTTCGTCATGATGCAGCTCTTCAACGAGATCAACGCCCGCAAGATCCACGGCGAGCGCAATGTTTTCCACGGTATCTTCGGCAACCCCATCTTCTGCACCATTGTGCTGGGCACCTTTGCAATCCAGGTAGGAGGGGTGGCTCCTCTCTTGGAAAAGGAGGAGGAGCAGGGGACCATGTCCCCCCACTACTGGCCTCTGTGCACATAAGAGCAGGCCTCGCCCTGGGTCCACCTGCTGGGGTCCAGAAGGGCTCGGTGGGCCGTCATCAGAACTGACCTTCTCACGGATCCCTCCAGGTCTGCCACTGCCATTTCTAGCACTTGATTCCTTGGCGGGTGGCCACCATAAACTCCAGAAGTTTGGCGATGCCTTGTCCCCAGTGCTGACAAACAGGACTCTTTCTGCCACAGGGCTATGGACAGGCTGCTCAGTCCGCTCTTCAGGAGGGACTGGGCATTTGAACACAGGGTATATTAATAGAAAATGTTACTTACAGTGAGGCCAATGGACCAGAATATTTTGTTCCTCACAGTTCTCAGAAGAGGGGGCCTGCCACTCCATGGGGGCCCACCTGGGGAAACACCTGGGTTGGTCAGGAGGCAGAGGGAGAGCAAGGAACTGTGGGCAAGAAAGAGCCTTTACTGCAGATTCTGGGGGAGGAACTATAAGGTGTGGTGAGCAGGCTGAGGACTTGTCAGTGTGAATAACTTCAGGGTGCTGGGGCGGAGGGCTGTCCCCGGTTGTCTGGAACCTGGCCCCAGGCAATTAGGGCAGGGTACAGTGGCCTGAAGTGTCAGAGCCCGGTAGCGGAGATGCTTGGTCTGTATTTAAAAAGCTCGCTGCTGGGTGGAGGTTTCGTCTCAAGGAGGGGGCAGTGAGGGAGCAGGAGGCCCAGGCAGGGTGACGCGGGCGTGTCACCAGGGTGTCCAGCATGAGGCAGGTCCAGCATATGCAGGATAGATGTTAAAGCATCAAGTTTACAGAAGCTGGAAATGTGTCTAATCTGCTGAGCCCTGGCCAGAGGCCCATCTGCCTGGGGGAACCAACAGCCCCTCTGAGTCTCTGAGCAGGGCGCAGGGGCCAGCCTGCAGGGCAGGGTGGGCTCCGAGTGCTAGAGGAGGACAGTGGCATCACTAGCTGTGCCAGCTGGACCCGCCTCCCTCCCACCCCTCTCCTGCAGATTGTCATCGTCCAGTTTGGCGGAAAGCCCTTCAGCTGCTCCCCACTGTCCACGGAGCAGTGGCTCTGGTGCCTGTTTGTTGGCGTTGGGGAGCTGGTCTGGGGACAGGTGAGTGTCTGCCCTGTCAGTTTTCCCAGTCCTGCCCCCTTCCCATCTACTCTGCAACAGCGCCAGTGATGGGCACAGGCCAGGGGATCGTGGGCGGCCCCAGAACCCCTGCCCTGGCTCCCTGCTCTGGAGCCTCGAAGCCTGCACCTGGGAAAGCATGCACCATGTTCAGGTGGGTGGCACCACACAGCAGGGCTCAGACCTGAGACATGCCACCATCCAGGTGCAAGGCAAATGGCCGTGGCTGGGATGTGACGGGGCCTTGGCAAAACCGCCCATCGCTCTCCTTTCCACGATAGGACCCAAAAAGCATCCCTTCAAACTGGGTGCCTTGGAAAATCCCCACATATTTGAAAATAAACCACACCCTGCTAAATCCTCCAGGGGCAAAAAGAAGATCTGGAGGGAAATGAGGAAATACATTGAGCTGATAGAAAGTGAAACTTTGACGCCTCAAACTCTGTGGGCTGCAGAGGGGACTTCACAGCACCTGGGGCCTGAGTCAGGGAGAAAGGCGGAGTGTTGGGGCTGCTCAAAGCACAGGGGGGGAGGGGACAGCCCGGGCCTCTGAAAACATTTCTCCAGAGTTCTAGAACACTGACGTAGGATGCTCAGTCCAGGATCCACTTCATCCTGCATCTTACTTACCTCAGCCCACCAGAACAAATACCACAGCCTGGGCGGCCTAAACAGCAGAGGTTATTCTCTCACAGCTCTAGAGGCTGGAAGTTCCAAAATCAAATGTACTTAGGGCGGGTCCAGGAGAGACCAGGCAAGAGCTTCCAGGTCCTCTGCCAGTGGAGTCATGCGGACAGCACAGTTTCCCCCAGCAACGGTGTGTGACGACACGCACAGAATGCTGCCACCAGGGAAGCTCTCCTGAGCGGTGGTGTCTAGGGACTTTACTGGGGGGCCTTCCTGTAGGCCTGGAGCGCCCACGTGGCTGACCCTAGTCACTCAGTCTCCAGCCCCTGGAGGTCAAGCTCCTATAGGCAGCCCAAGCCCCCACCAGAAAGCACTGTGTCAGCATAGACTACCTGGCAGGGCCCTCAGCCCAGGTAAACCAAGACCTTCTCATCAGGCAGGACGTGCCAGGGGCCTAGGAGCTGGGGGCCGAGGAGCTGGGGGCCAAGGCCAGAGCTCCCTCTGGTAAGGCGATCCCTTGGTGCATATACTATGCGGGTAGGTTGCACCAGCTGCTCCTCTGACCCTCTGGCTGGCTGGGAGACAAGGAAGGAGGAGCCACAGTCAAGCACCCTGGGGTGCTGCAGGCCCCCTGCCCAGGGCCCTGGGCTCGAGACACCTGACTTCCCCCTCTCTGGGAAATCCTGCATGCCCAGCTCCCCAGGGGCTGCTCGGGATCTGCTCTCTTTGATTAAACATGGAACACAATGCCCTCCAGAGGAAAAAGTCTGGCTCTCCCTCTGGAGGGTGGGATTTGGCACCAAAGATGGCCCGGGCATGCAGCCTCAGGGACAAAGAAGGGATGTCCAGTCCTGGGGTGGGGGTGGGGGAGAGACAGCCAGTGTCAGAGGGAGGTGAGCAGCCTGGATCCCTTCCGAGCCCCAGCAGAGCTCCCACCCTGAAAGGCCCAGTCCCACTCTGATGGCACCTCTGCCTGCTGTCCCTCATCTCTGGCCCTCCAGGTCATCGCCACCATCCCCACCAGCCAGCTCAAGTGCCTGAAGGAAGCGGGGCATGGGCCTGGGAAGGATGAGATGACCGATGAGGAGCTGGCCGAGGGGGAGGAAGAGATTGACCACGCTGAGCGGGAGCTCCGCAGAGGCCAGATCCTCTGGTTCCGAGGCCTGAACCGGATCCAGACACAGGTAAGTTGCCATGCCACTTGGCTGCCTGGGCTTTCCTGCCTCAAGAGGGTGGCAAGCAAGCGAGCGGCAGAGAGTGGGTGAGGTGAGCCCGAGACCGACAGGATGACTCTTGGTTATTGCAGCCATGATCACATGGGCAGTTGCTAGTGTCCCTATGCTATCCCCAGACATGCCCGCTGGCAGTTGTGGCACCAAGGTGGCCTGTCCCCGACACCTCCTTCAGAGCCCAGGTGGCCCTCCCCATAGTGGGAACAGGTGTCAGCTATAGGTATGTGCTGTGACCCGTGGCTGTCTCTCTGGGGGATCTGCGGGGCTGCTGGGCCTCACCTTATTTGGTGGGCCTGCCCCAGGTCGCAGAAAAGGGACATTCTGGGGATGAGCTAGCTATTTCTTTCAAGTGCCCTTGGCGAGCTCACCATTCATTGGGTTATGTTGTGAGTTGTGTGGAAAGACGTCATTTGGGAAGTGGACTGTGGCCACTCAGTTGGTCCTTTCTGTTCACCCCACCTTCCAAATGTCAGTACTGCAATCCTGTATAAAGTCACGCAGCCATGATGACCGCCCAGCTGTAAGCACTTGCCAAGACTTCACAAGAGCTTGCCCGCCAGAGCCAGCCCTGCTGTCTGTCCCAACTATTCCTGGCCAGCCTTCTTGCCAGAATGTTCCGTACTTGCTGTCTCTCCATGTTTTCCCCACACACTCGCTTGTGATCCCATCACAGCATAGCCTCTGCCCTCAGTGTCCCAGAGGTTCTGGCCAGTGTCTGCAAGGCGTCCTCCTGGCTCCTGGGGCCAGGCTGTCCACCCTTCCTTCCTGCTTCGAGGCTTCTTCCCAGTGCCCTTCTGGAAGTGCCATCACCCCTACTCTCCCTGGCAGCTTGCTGTCCCCTCTCCACCTCACTCTCTGCTCCTCACCCTCGCTTGCCTGGCACCCCTGCCTCCTGCTGAGACATCGGTCCACCCTGCTGTGGCCCTCATGTGTAGAAAATCCCACGGACCCAGGGGCGCCGGACCTAGTAGGGAAGGAAGGAGGAGTGGGTGAGAGCTGCCCCACCTGTGGGGGATTCTGCCTGATCCTCGGCCCTTAGCCCCATGGAGTCACCTGCAGCCCGCTTCAATCATCATCTCCTTTAGCCCCTGCCCACCTGCCCCACTAGGCCTTGTGGTTGCTGGTCTCTTCTTGGCCAACTCCTAGTGCCCCTAACCACCTCCTCCTCTGCCCAGCCAAGAATCCCAGAGTGCCACACCCACACCAAGATGCCCCACAGTACCCATACTGGGCTTGGCCCAGACCACAGGCCCTGCCGTCCCGAGGCCACCTCCTCCCAACCCCCAGATCCTGACCAGTGGCTCCAGAGTCTCACCGCCATCCCAGACCCTCTTCCTGTCTCTCTGAACACCTGGTACACCAACATTACTCACTGGCTTTAGCTCTGCCTCCTCAAATGCGCATCCGCAATCCAGCCACCCTGTGCTCCGTCCTCTTGGCCTAGCCAGCAGCCTTTCTGCCTGGATTGAAGCTCTCTGCTGCCCCCCTGTCGCCCCAACCCTCCCCCCCAAGCCTCCTCTCAGCATAGCCACCTGGTGACACCTGTCACTCTCTGCCCCTTCTGGGCTTCCTACTGCCCCTCCTCCAGCCCAGGACCCTCCAATTGCTTCTCTTCCTGGGGGCCCCAACAGGAGGGAAGGACGCCACTATGCACCTGCCCCGGCCCTTCTCCAGAGTCTGTTTAGGCAACTTCCTGGTGTGGGGCCCTCAGCCTGGGGCAGGATCTCAGAACACACCTCTCCGCAGTGTCTGTCTGCCTCAGCCTGTCACACGTCACCACAGGCTCATCCCAAAGAATCTTCCATGCAATGTGCCCAAAGTGCCCTCCCTTGGCAGCCCACGCCTGCACCACCCTGGGTCCAATGCTCCCACCCAGGGCACACAGCTCACCAGCTGCTCCTGCACAGCCCCCAGGGCCCTCATGGGACTCAGCCTCAAGGCACCCCTCCTCTCTTCCCCAGGCCCAGCCTCAACTCTGGCTATGAACTCCCAGCCTCCTGTCCACTCCGCCAGCCTTTGTTCAGCTCCACCCTTCCAGTACCACTCTCCGCACTGTTGCTTGTATAGCCTCTCTCCCTGTCCTTAGGGTGAAGTCCAGGGTGCAGACCATAGCCTTCAAACCCTTGCCTCTTGGCATCACCCCACACACCCTGCACTCCTGTAACCTCTGCTGCCTTTCTAGACATGCGCTCTGCTAACCCACGTCGCCGTGCCTCCATGCTGGCCGCTGTCTGGACTCCAGGCCTCCCCTTTGGGGCCCCTACCCATCCCATCCTACAGCAGCGCACTCAAAGGCCCCCCCGCCTTGTGAAGCCTTCTCAGAGTCCACTCCCTTCCATCATGGTGGATCCTCATAGACCCGTGGCACACACAGTTATGGCAGTTATTTCTCCCCATGACCAGCCATCTGTGCACCCAGCCCAGGGCGCTGGAATGAGTGAGGAGCTTAATGCCCCAGGGAACTTTCCAAAACTGTGGAGTCCAGGGCCACGCCCAGAATTCGGGATCCTGTAGGGCTAGGTGAGGTGGCACCAAAGAACTCCATGTTTCAGGAGCTCCCCAAGGGTCCAAGAGACTTCTGCAGTGGAGAAGCAGGAGGCCAGGTCTCTGGCTCATTCCTCTCGGCATTCTGAGCACCTAAGCCAGTGTGGCCAGGGAAAAATGTCTTAAGTCTGAAAGAACATTGAGTGCCCTATAGAAGAACGGGAACAGCCTTGGTAGCCAGATGTCCAGGTGTCCCATTGCCTTCTGGCCATTCAGCGGTCCTGGCCCTGACAGGTTCTTATCTGTCTGTCATGCGGAGCCCGAAGCCAGCTTGAGCCTTGGTGGAGGATGGGGGGAGGGGGGTAACAGCACTTCCATCCATTAGCCTAAGATGGTGAGCCTAGCTTTTCTAGCAGCTGAGACAGCAGCCCTGCCCCGATCTGAGGCGTCTGGGGGAGGTCAGTGGTGCCCCGGCCATCTGTGTGTCTGTGTTTTCTGGGTGCCTGTGGGCTCTTGGGCCTGCCACTGCTCCCTGACTAGTAGAGAGGGTCCCTGTAGTCAGAGTCTTGGAGTTCCAGGCTGTTCCAACTGTGTGTCCATGTAGACATTGGCCGGTCAGGTCCCTGCTTACACACGAGGAAATGGGGCCCAGAGAGAAGGGACTTACCCAAGGTCACCTAGTGAGAGTCTGAGGCAGCCAGGGCCCAAGTCTCCATTCCCTGACCCCCTAGTGCACTCCATGTCCCCTCCATACAGTCACTCATTCGTCCATGAGAACTTGACTTTGTCACTCCAGATTCACCATGCTTCTCAACAATGCTGAACCAATTGGTTACTTTAACTCACTTTTGAACAGTGCCTGTTATTTTTTTAATCAAAATGCCTGCTTGAAAAGCAGAAACAAAGCCTCCCCGTCCCACCAGGTTGTATGTGCACCCTTAACAAAGAGAAACATTCTCTAGGCAGTTGGCCCTCGATAGATTTCTAAATTTTTCAAACCACAGAACTGCTCCCCATATTTCAGAGGCCGGCACAACTTTTTACATTGTTAAGAAAAGGCATTTCTAACCTGCTACCTGCTCTCATCATCATTCCATACTAACATATGAATGCAACAGATGGTTCGGATATCATTCCACAATAAAAGAGACTCCTTGAAACCCGGAACATGGAGCTTTTCAAAGCGCTCATGACGTGGTTTATTTCACATTCCATTATAAAACAATGAGAAGCTTCAGCAGAGACTGGGCTTCCAGGGGTGGGGGATGGGTGACAATTTTGCAGTATTTTGACTGATACCATCATCTCATCAGGGCACCATGTGGAAAGGCCAAATCAGAGGCAGGAAAGGCATCTTTCCCTTCCCTCATCACCTTTGCCTCAGTAAGAGTCCCCTCTTGAGACAGACCTGTCTCCATAGACTTAGAAACATCCGCTCAATCTAGAGAGGAGACACCCCCTAAAGAGACGACAACATCAGGGCATGGGTCATCTACCTTCAGTGCATTGAGGCACACTCAGCACTGTGCCAGCCCCCCTCCCCCCACCCCGTGGGCGCTCAGTATGCCTTATTCACAGGTCTCAGTCCTGGCTGTGAAGTTCCCCTGCTCATGAGTGGGATGTGCTGGGTAAGAGGGGGTCTCAGTGGCCAAGTACATGACAATAAGTCTTTTCTGCACCACGTTCAAAGGTTGAAATGACGGACATACTCATTTTGGTTGGGGTAGAGGGAGTCTGAGCACTGAAGCTGCCTTCTTCCAAGGACGCTGGCCCCATGTCAGACACCCCTCCGAACCTGGTGGCCGCTTTGTAGCCACTGCAGGGCCTGGGGGTGGGACAGGGCCCCTTGCCTCGGGCCTAAAGCAGGTAGCCAGTGCGCTCTAGGCTCCAGAAATGCATACTTGCTTTGCTGCTCACGTCATCCACTGAACTATAGAGCACTTTCCAGAAATCAGATCTACCTTCTAAGGCATCCCCTTAGAAGATTCCATCCCCACACATTGAGAGTATTCCCAAAGAGGTGGCCAAAAGTGTGCCGCATGCGGCTGAGCTCCCAGAATCGAGGCACGTGGTCTTACAATAGTGAGACATTCACTGTGGCCACTTAGCTGCAGTTCCTTGGGACCCAACGCCTGGGTCTAATCCACCCCCAGGCCCCCGTGCCAATGCAAAGTAGAATGAGGGAGTCCAAAGACATTGTGACTCCCCGTGAGTTCACCCACATGGTTCTCATTTCACAAAGACCCATTTCCCCTTTGCCTCCTAGGAAGCTTGAAGGGTGGGGGACAAAGCAAAGGTCATATCTGCTCCCTAGAGCCCAGGCTCTCTGCTCTCCCTTCCGCCATGCCTGTGCACCCTCCCCCTTTTTAAATCCATTCTTCCACTGAGGCTTTCCCTGCGTGCCCCTCAATCAGTTGGTTGAGCCCCATAAGGAGCGTGAAGGCCACACCTCCCAGCGAGGCAGGACAGGCTGGCAGCGTGTGGTACAGTGTACGTGAAGGACAGGCCCAGGGAAGGGCCCCTGTCCCCATGCAGTGCCATCAAGGAGCCCTACCACAGGGAGCCTCGTTTCTAATAGGAGCATGTCATATCCCTCAGGTGTGTTGGGGCGGAAAAAAAGGTTGAGAACCACTGACCTAGGATATAACAAAGTATTGCCAGATACAGGTATTTATTGACGAGTGGCTTGCCATGAGCATACCATGAATGCAAATGACTCTAAATGTTTGCAGTGTGCCTGGTTGTTAACCGCCTGCCCTCCCAGTCTTCTGAGCGCTAATCATTTGCTCAGCAAAACCTCTCTTGGTGGATGACACAGAGGCCAGCCTGGGCCATGGCCACGGCCCTGTCAGAAGCACTGTCAGCTCCCAGGGAGCGGGGTGACTTAGATGAGGCCTTGCTGTCAAGATATGTGCTAAGTGTGGCCCCTGTCCTTGCCCAGCCCCACCCCCGTGCGGTAGCCGGGACAACAGTGCAAGCCAAACTTTATCTCATTTTCTCTCCCACAGATGGAGGTAGTGAGTACCTTCAAGAGAAGCGGTTCATTTCAGGGTGCCATGCGCCGGCGGTCTTCAGTCCTCAGCCAGCTCCATGACGTAACCAATCTTTCTACCCCTACTCACGTAATTCTCTCTGCTGCCAATCCCACCAGTGCCGCTGGGAGTGAGTCTTGAGTCCCCTTTTCTCTGATAAATGGCATCTGTGGGGGAGAACAAGCCTCCCAACTCTTCCTTCTCTTTTTTCCAGTCTTGCATCCTCCGCTCACCGTGGCTTTTCCGTTCTTTCTTTATTGCCCTGTCCAGTCCTTCCCTCCCAGATGGTGTGTCTCTCCAAAGCCATACTCTCTTATGAAATGTACTGAATCCATGGCACTGCTGGACCTTCTGTCCTTTTCTTTGTTTGGTTTTTTTGGTTTGCATTTAGTGCTCTTTCTGTCATTGGTTTTCTTTTCTTGAACTTGTCTGCATTTGCCGAGGGTTCTTCATGAACTTGGGCCGCTTCTGGTGGTGTCTAGTGTCAGGGTGGGGTCTTGGTTGGTGTTTGGCGGGGCAGTGAAAGGGAGGCACGCGGGCTCAGGGCCACTTTCCAGGGCTGGAGGGGAACACTAGTGCCTTTTCGGCATCATTTGCAGCGGAAGAATCCAGCCCACCTACTTGGGGTTAAAGTGGCAGCATCCAGAACTTTCCTTGAGGTGGTTTCCCAAGGCAGTAGAGCTGATATGAGCTTCAGGAGGCCACTGTCACATGTCCCCAGGTGGGTTCGGTGGTGGACAGCTGCTTCTGCTCAGGTGCTACCTGCCCCATAGGCCCTTGACCCTGAGCCACCGGGTGTTAGAGGTGTTTAAAGTGTCTCGCGAGCTGGAGTCCTACTCACACCCCAAGCCCGCACTGTGCTATATTTCCGTTTGTTCCCAAAGCACCTTCGCTCTTTCCAAACAGGCCTTGGCATTGGAAGGTCTTAGCCCAATCTGGTCCACCCGCTCTCCTCCTTTCTCCGAGAAGCTGGGAGAAATCAATTCCCTTCTGTATGTTCCAATGAAAAGTTCCTGCCATGTCGGCCACATTTTAAAGAGAACCCAGGGGTTGTCCTACAGAAGTAGAAATGTCCATAATTGCTCACATCTTTTCACAAAGACAACAGGCAAGCCACTAGACCATGGAACCCACCAGCCCAGGGAACGGTGTGGGCCCCCTGCTCCCACCCAGAGCAGCCTGCTTCTTGTAACAAACTCGAGATTTCAAAAACCAAACAGTAAACCTTCGAGTATGAGCCCAGAGTCCCTGCCGGGATGGTTCGATGCTACCTCTTTCCTTTCCTTCCAGTGAGACCCGACAGCTCCCACCTCCGTGAAAACACCACTTCCCCCACAGACGGGAGTCATTAACAACGCTGTTTCCCCCACCAGACCCTGGGATTTTCTTTTGCTTGATTTCTTCTCTTTTCCTTTCTTCTTTTGTCTTGTCTTGTCCTTTTTTCTTTTCTTTTTTTTTTTTTTTAGGAACTGGTGAGAGGTCCCCGGTGGGGGGCATCCCTCCTCTTGCTTAAGCTGTCATTTCAGGCCACTCTGCCCTTTAAGGAAGGGATGTGAGCCACAGCGGTCCCCGCTGGGCCACCTTGTCCCCTTTGGAAACAGCGCGTGCATGTACACACACACACACACACACCCCTTCCCCAAAGCACATGCCACACACACCTCCATCTCCCTCGCACATTCACTGGGCCACCCACCTGGGTCACAACTATTGGCCGACACACATCACAGGTGGGCTGGAAAGCCTTGTCCCAGAGAGGCCTTGCCACCACTCCACCAGAGAGGTCTACAGGTGGCTCGGCCACAGTCAGTGAAGGACAGAAATGATGCACAGCCTCCCAGGTGCGCCTCAACCAGGGTCCAGCTGGGCAGCAGTACTTTCCTGCCTGGGAACAAAGGGACAAGAGCGGGTGTGGGTGTGCGTGAGAGGCACGCCTGCTCCTGTCCCTCCCTCCTTGATTCCCTCCACATGTTCCTTTGCCATCTCCCTCTGCACTTCCTGTCTGTCCTCCTGCCTGTCTGTTGACTTGAGAAGAAGGCGGCCTACATGAACCCCACTCAGGCCTTCTCCACAACTCTGGCCTTGCTCCACTCCAGGGCCAGCCCAGGCCTGCCCTCTGTTCTCCTGGTTAGGCCTGCTGGCTCTTGGCTCCCTCGGAATTCCTCGGCTTTCTCCCTGGGGGCAGCTTCTCTCTCTCTTCCTCGGCTCCTAGTGCCATCCTTCCTTCTGCAGCCATCTGTTCCCCACTTTCCCCACCTTCCCACTTCCAGGAGCCCAGCAGTGCCACCCCTCCCACTGGTCATGAGCCACTCCAGGGGGACCTAACTAGTGCCTGGCCAGAAGAAGGGCGGCTGTCCCTTCCACATCACGGGCTGCTGGGCGAGGAGCAGGTGGCAGGTCCCGGGTGATAACTGAGCACCTTTTGTCTGAGGAGGCCGCTGGTATGACAGCAAGGGGGTCCTGATGTCCTGACTCACAAGGGCCAGCCTAAAAGGCTCATCCCAGTTGAGTGGCAGCACCTCAGAAGGAACTCCTCTGTGGAAAAAAAATGCTGGTTGGAGGACTGGGCAGCACCGGGGGACACACCTGCTTCTGGAAGCCGCCAACCAAACTGCTTCCTGCCATCATCATCGTGTGGCAGATTGGTTTGGAACTCTGAACTGGCCCCCAGTCCAACCTGCGAGGACCCCAAGAAATCACCAAGCCCAGCACCCTCATCAGGGGAAGGCCTAGCAGGGTGGGGGCTAGCCCCAGGCCCTCACTTTCTCTTGGAACTTGCCAGAAGGAAGGCAGAATGTCGGGCATGACAAAGCTCCCAGCCTAGCTGAGAGGCAGTATTGTAGGAGGTGCAGTGGTCACAGGTCACAAGGTTTCCTAAGGAAAATCCCAGCTCTTATGGGAAGGTTCCGGTCCTCCTGGCCCACCTCCCAACCATTCTGCCCCTTATCCAACATGCTGGAGCGAGTCTCTCCAGTATACTGGGGTCGCTGGGAGAACGTCAATTCCAGTGAGAACCTCAGGTTCTCAGATGGAAGGCCCAGTGCAGGGTGTGGACAAGGAGCCTGAGGGCCAGAGTGATAGCTGACTGCGCTCACCAACGCAAGCCCCAGCATGTAGCACCAATGCTGGACGTGTTCATAGAATGTCCTCGGAGCCAGAGGGAGAGGAGCAGCCCCTGGAGGGATAACCAGGGGGAGCAAAAGAAGCCGTGATTCTTGGGGCTCAGTGTGTCCACATCCACGCCTGCCCACACTTTGTAGCCGACTTCTGACCCCCCCCCCTCCTCCGAGGCATCCCACACCCACGTGCATCTTTGCCGCTTTGGGACTCAGGAGTACCAACACAGTCCCCATTCCTTCGGTCGCACACAATGACCTCCCAGCTGAAAGATGGCCATGACTGCCTCCCCCTCACTCACCCAGCCATTTTTCCACCCCACCTGGCCTGGTGGCTGCCCCCACATCATGGCCATTTCATTTTCAGTCCTTTTCGTGGTCACCACCTCATTTCATGGGACCTCAGCCATGGCCTTGAGGCCAGCCAGCCCATCTGAGTTGCTCAGGAAAGAGCATTCTTTAATAATCACTTTCAGTCTTTTCGAAACCAAGGGGGTGCAAAACCCTATCCCCTCTTGGTATGTCATTTGCCCCCATTCTTACCCCAATCACACTCCACAGCTGGGTGTCAGGATCACCCAAGGAGTGGCCCGAGATGAGCAGCAATTCAGGGTGCTCAATGGCTGCCTCCAGGTTTGAGTAGGGACACACAGGCACATCCTAGCCCCTCATTAGCTACACATGCGAAGCCTTTCCCCACCAGCTTGCCCTGATGGCCCTCCCATTCCAACAGGCAGCTGTGCCCAGCCTGACCCTTCCTGCAGCAACGCTGGGCCTCTATACTCGAACGTTTACAAGTGGTTCATGAGAGGGCTCCGACTCAGCCCGGCAAAAGGGGCAGGGGCCGGTGGAGAGTTTCGTCAGATGTGGCCAGAAGGGCTCCCTCAGGGCTGTTTGGTTCTGATTAACCATGCCAGAACCAGATCACGGCAGTTGCTTTATTTTAGTTGGCTTTTGCAACATGAAAACCTTGTGTCCAAGTTGGCAAAGCCAGGCCAGGTGAGCTCCCACGATTTCCTTGGACACGTCCTTCTGGAGCCTGGCGGGGGTGGGGCCGGGCACATGCTCATCACTGGCTCCCACGGTAGCAACTCCCGTCATTAAGGCAGTGCCATGGAGGAAGGAGCCCGGTAAATGATTTAGAGCCAAGTCTCCCCACTTGGGTTTCTGGGAGTAGTGTATTTACATTTTTTCTCAGCTATTTCACATGGTGCACACTGTCTCCACACTAGGAACCATATCAGCCCTGCCCTGTCCGAACCTTCCTGCAAACACAGACCCTACCACAGGGAAGGGCTTTCCAGGGAACGTCTAAAGCACATGGCAGCTCAGCCTAGGGCAGACCCCAGAACCCCTGATCCGAGCCCTCCCCTGTAGGCACTTGCAGGCCGACTCCCAGGACTGGGAGCCAGGGTCCAGGGAGCTCAGGAGACTTATTTGAGGCCCTGCAGCTGGATGAGAGACACGGCTGACACCCTGAAAAGCCTGGGACTAGCCGTGCCTGGTTCAGCTCAGTGCGACGTCCTTTTGATGTCGGCAGCATGAGTCTGGGCTCTCCCAGTTCTGAGCACGCGTGCCTGTGCCCAGGATGGGAGGCAAGCTGCACGAAACTCGCCAGCCATTAGCGTTGGGCTTGCCAACAGGCACAAAGCTGTGTCTTTAATTTGGTTTGGGTTCAATCCCTCAGTGAAAGGGCCAGCTTTGGAGTTTGCATTTTCACATTTCCTAATTCCATGGTGAGGAAAGGGAGCCTTCCCCTTGCTACCCCTTTGATTGCGTGCACATCGTCCCACGCCTCTTGTGTTGCTTTCGAGTTGTGCTTTCATGCCTATAGGGTGGGTTTGGTATTTGGTAACCCCAAAGTTCCTGATAAATAGTTCCCATGGCTCTCCCTGGTTGCTGCATCTAGAATGAGCTCTAAATGCAAAGCCCGGATGCCAGAGAGGGTGACAGGTCCCTTCCTCTCGCAGAAGGTTCTGGATTAGTGGTTGGTACAGAGACAGGCAAGTTCGTC